CGCTTGATGTTGCACCAGCCATAATATCAGGTTGCATGGGTGTGGGTCAAAACTAGGTACCGAGGATGGAACCCCTGGCAATTTGAAACAAGTAGTAAAACCTGCGGCCTTCATAGATCGCTCTGTCCTCCTGAGGCTTGTAATGCCCGGAGACATCAAACTCCTCGGGCTTTGTCGGCTCTTTGGGTGGTGGCTTCAGCTCCACCTGAGCGCTGCCATAGGTCAGGGAACAACTCCGGGCAGTTCTAGCAGCGCCATGCAAAAACGTGTGAGCAACATCATTGTTCGTTGATGTCGTTGATCAAACCCGATGGTGGCTAAGGGACTATATCATCTTTTCATGTCATTATCCGTGGGGCGGTTGGAAAAACGGTCTGACTAGTGAGACACCGGGTTTGTTGTGGCGTCAAGCCTCAGTGAGGCTTTGGGCAGGGTTTGCTATGAACCACTGCGGTAAATGGAGCATCATCATGTTGCACGGGCCCACGCGCGCCGTTGCCATACGCCGTGGCTGCACGCAATAATAATGAAGGTAAATGAGACATTCAGACTTGCCTTGGAGAGTGTGAGTTTGGCGCCTTGCGCCGAAAATGATGCCAAAACAAAACTCGATAAACCATTTCCTGTCCCAAAGCCCAGGGGGTTCCAATGCAAAAATGATACTCCGCAACCAGGTCCGCCGATGGGCCACCCAGAGTTCCCAGTTGGTCGGAACCCAAGGTCTCATTGCTACCAGAAGTGATCAAACTTAAGCCGTTGCCACCGGTTGGCCGCTAGCACTCCTCCCGGGTCCTGAAGGACGTAACATGAACAACCCTTAAAAACAAAACTTCTAAAACACGCCCTCAGGGGAGCCCTTGGTCACATGTCATCTGCGCAGTCTCTGTGATACACAAACAATCCCGAAAGCAGGGGTGCTTGATGAATGATCGCATTCACTCACTCTTCAATATGAACTACGCCTGCACCCTGAGTGCGCTGGCATAAGCAGTGCCTTTGGGAGGCAACGGCCGCCCTTCCTTGTGCGCCTGACATGATGGCGCTGCTATCTGCGTGATGTGGCAATCCACACATCAGCTCGGTGCTCATCTATCAATGACTTTGAGCGCCGAAGATTTGGTGCCAGCAAATTTCATACTAGTACCAGCTTCAAGCTCAAAGCTGTAGCAGGTGTCAGCAAGAGAGCACAAACAACGGTCTTGCCTTGATGCGCTCATACACCTCTCTCTGCCTCCTCCGTACCTCGATGACGCGGGCCTCCTCATACATGCGGGCCTGGCCAACATTGACACGCGCCTCTGTCCCTGATTGGAACCGATTCCTTGTAAGGTGCCTTGCGGTGCCTTGCAAATCTGCAGAAATTTGTGCGCTTGCGACAGTCTCCGCCCCGACTTTGGTCCGTGCCTCATAGGCCTCCATGATAGGATCCCGCGGGCCATACAGGGAAGCCTCGGCGCGGGGGCTTGCGGCGGTCAAATCTAATCTTGCAAGTCGTGCACATGGTCTGTGGCCATCCTGGCCCGATTTGAGCAGTGACTGCAGAGAATGATGAGTCTAAAGACATTTAATGGTGCCAACTGATTAGTAACCCCCCCGCCCTTCAAGGTTGACAAGGTTTGGACAAGTCCCAAAAAATGAGACTTTTGGGAGGACCCCCCTGATTACTCTGGAGCCCCTTCGGTCCTCGTCCTCTTACTTCTGGTCCCTTCAGGGCAGTAGGACTTTAAAAGGCAACAGCATATTTTTTGGGTTTTGAGCCCAAAGGGCCCTGATTAATCGCGGGGGGTTTTCTGTTAATGAGGGGGGACTGGCCTCCAAGGGGGGTCCCCTTTGTGAGCTTGAAAACCTTGTCATTTTAAACAAAGTTTAATAAGGAAAAATGCATTTCGGGGGAAGCACATTTTTTGGGAGAACTTGAGGGGTTCAATAGTGACTTAGTATTGGTGGGTTTAAGAAGGAAAGCACCTTTTTGGCAGGTTTTGTTGGCTTGGGGGCTGCAAAGGGATACCTTTAATCAGGGGGGGTTTTGGGGAGGGCTCAAAAATTATTGGGTAGGGATTTTTTGGGAAATCTTGTTGGCCCTTTACTTTAGTGTTGGTTGGAACCTGGTGGGGAAAAGGGGAAACCTTTAATCGGGGGGGTTTACTAATCGTCTGCTGACATTACCTAACGAAGACCTACTGTCAAACCTGCTCTTTCTTAGCACAATCTATTTGTCTGCACTCGTCAGTGGCTGCTGAGAATCTGAATTTTGGCAGCGTTCCAAGAGTAGACCCAACACATGTTGCAGCAGCCATCCAAACATGCATGCTTTGATTTCATCTGAAAGTACCTCTTCTTGGCAAGGCGCTGCCAAACTTATCACAAACAAGTTGAACCTTTTGCCCTCTGACTCTCTTTGTTCCGACCTGGTGTTCTCAACTGAACCCAGCTGAACCAACGCTCCGCACTCAGGCCCCAGACTCGCTCCTGCTCCTTCTGCGCCCAGGCCTGGCGCCTCTGCGCCGACTGCTTCTCCTCCAGGCGCCTGAAAGCCGGCGCGAAGAACCAAATCTGAAATGCGAACATTGAGACGCCCGTCGCCGCACCTTTGAACGTAAGCAACAGCAAGGCAACAAAGACCACATTGTTGAGAAGCAACCACTGCATATGCAACAGTGAATCCAAGGTTGCGGTGGCCTCTTTTACTTACCGACCATTGGTGACCAACGCACGGCCCTGGCCTTGCATCCCACTTCAACTTCATCTCATCGGCCTCCCGAGTGTACCGGGCCTGCCGCTCCTCCTCTGTCTCCTCAAAATGAGAGCACACTGTAGCCACTACTGGGGAACAAGCGAGCAACTCTTCGCCAGGAAATCAGAGCAACTCTTAGATCCCAAATCTAACTTGGCCGTGCCCAGTATTGCGCCTTAGTACCTTTGATCAGGTCCAACCTTTGGCCATATTGGGCGCTATCAATCCGCCAAAACCTGCCTTCCCACACGCTGTCCTCGTCTATCTCCCAAGGTGCCAGGCCAGTGGTGGACTCAGCCTCCAATGGTAGAAAACAATCGTGCTGGAACTGCCCTCCTCAACTCCAGTTCTGAAAGCCTGACGAAAACTCTGGGGGTCTTTCTCACGAGCCATGACGAATTTGATGTTCCACTCCACTGCGCCCCAACTTGAGGCAACTTACACAGTGCTTTCATTGTCATCTTTTGCGCCTAACTCCCACCTCCACGGTGCGTGTACCGCACGTCCAAAACTCCCCACCTCCACAGTGGTGGCTCGCTGCGCAGCTCGTTTCCTGCGTGCCTTTGCCGCAAAGGCCTTAGATTACATGTCGTGCCGTGTTCTGCTCTTCCCCTTCTACTCCAGTCGGATTAAACAATCCACGTCTTATTCAGAAACACCACGGACGTCTCAAATTTCAATTCATGAACATCTTCCTGCCCTTCTAGGCCTTATGACATCAAGATTGGCTCATGTACTGCCGCTTGTTGCTGGATCAATTTCTAGGCTGCACTTTGATGCGCCTTGCAGCAAATTCGTGCACTAGTCACGCACCTCATCACAAGCAAAGGCTCTGGCTGTCACCGTTGACACCAGCACCGCTGTACAGGCGTGACCATCACTGCCCAAGACCTCCGCCACTCTCATCTGACATGCCATCTGAAGTAAACCACTTCATCAGGTGAGACATTGCAGTGGACAGCAATGGCTTCTTCCAGGCAACAGTGCAAACCGCCACTGATACTGTCCACTCAGCAAGTGCTCATCTTGCAAGGGATTGGGCCATGACATCTAAAAACAAGAGCGGCAAACTGCCACCAAGAAAAACACCGATTGAATAGTGCTTCAATTGATTTCTGCATTTATTGAGGGGATCCTGCAAGCCAATCGTGCTCTAATGCAAGTCCTCGGATTGTGACGTGCCTGTGAGGGTCGCTGCGGTCTGCTTGGCGCCAACAAACTTCCCAGCCTTGGATGGTGACCGAACCAATTGAGATGCGCCCGTTGCATGCCTCAAAGCTCAAACAGCCTTCACGCAGCTTGCGGCTAAGCACACTCCATTCCATTCATCCTTGCATTTGATCTCCAGAAGCTGTGAACAGCCAAAACTCCAAGGTCTTTCCCAGGTATCCATGTGTAGGGGCGTAATCAACAAGCAACATTTCACTCCAATGCATTCACACACACAGCCGTGCAAAAGCTGTGTTGAATGACTTGCAATTTCTGCCAGGCTCCGGACACCCGCGGGGTGCTAGCCACGAAGGCTGATGCGACCGCCTGGATGGCAAGGCGGGATGCATCTCAGCCCCGGAAGCCCGGAGGTGCTAATTAGACGACTTTCTACGGACACCCCCCAAAATGTTCCTGGCAAAATCCTTTCTGCAAAGAAAACATCCAGGGCAAAGCACAGCCACACTTCAGACAAGGGCTGAGACTAGCAATCTAGGGACGGAATTGCTGAACAGCAAACCTCAAACAGCTCGTCTTATTGCCCCGAGTTGGGGCCCCTGCCATGGCTTTGGCCCTGGACCCCTCTGAGCCAAGAAGTGAAGTAAGGCACAAGCGAGTCGCCGGTGAAGCATTGAACGTCTACTAATACGAGCTTCCAAAACATGTCAAACTAGGGACGCTGGCGTACATGACTTTGGCCAGCCTCAAAGGTTGATGCGAAGCGTTCAAAGTGCACGTCAGTGCGCGTCAGCTGTTTGTGGGGACATACATTATCAAAATCCATGCCTTGCCCCATTGCTGGGAGGCACCTCACATTTGCCACACATGCTTCCGTCCTTCCAGGAGCCTTACAACAAAAGGTGACATTTGGTCTTGAGTCAGCTATCATACTTCTGGGATTAAGTTCATACACAAAATAAATGATATGTCCTATCCCAGTTCAGCAATCGCTTGCGCCTTTGAACTCTGGCAAGACTACATGGAGAGTCTGCCGGTTGAATGTCAAGGTAACCCCTCGTAACGCGAGGATTCAGCAGTTGGACTTCTATCCGCACCCTCAAAGCTCCGTCTCCCTTTCTTCGAAGGCAAAGCCCTGTGCAACAATGCTATGCCGCGTCAGGTCCTTGCCTCAGCTCGACTCAACGCCGTTGTGTAGGATGTCAAATTCGTTCCAATCCATTCTTACATTTCGTTGGAGTGCCTCGGTTTCCAAACAAGCCAGCCTCTTTCAGGCGAGTCTTCGGGAGCAAACTAGCACCGTGGGAAATGCACAAGTGCTCACCAGTAAGAATCACGAGAGTATTGCAATCCCTGATCTCAGCATTGCCAGTCAGGCTCCAAGTCTGTGCAGTTGCTGTACTGAAAAAACAAGGCAATACGCTGGACGTGTGACGGGAGGAAAATTGGAGCCAACAAAATGACCTGGTAAGCCTGCCCAAACCTCATGAGGGCGTGCGCTAAAGTATCTCGACATCATCGCGAACCTGCCAGAACTCTATGCAAACTACTCCGTGTAGCTCAAAGACTTGGCGAACACAAGAGGTGTTGTACATATGCAAACACTGATCAGACTTGTTCATCAATGGAAGCAATCACCATGATCAACAACCAAGCAAATTAGATGTGAGGTCCCCTGCAATCAAACACGTCGCTTAGATACATAAAAATGAATATGCGCAGGGTTTAAGGACGTCGACTTAACCCACCCCGCGAGGGTCCAGCAATTCAGCGAGGGCAAGCAGGACACTTCACCCACGTCCTGCGACACAAAACGGTGCCTGTCCGAAACATGTTTTGAAAGCAATGCAGGGTTTGGCCAGAACAACCTCCACCACTCGTAGGTTTATGATATTCCTCCAACCTGAGAAAACACAACACGATGATTTCAAATTGCCAACATTTCAAGGCTTGACAAACTCAAGGGTAGTCCGTCCCCTTCAAAACCATCCTCCTTTGATAATATCAACGTCCGATACATCAGGACCCTGCCCAGCGCTAGAAAATAGCAACTGCGTTCTTGTGGCCCCATCAACGGCCCAAGAAAGGCGGAGGTTTAAGCTCCCAAGGGCAAGCTCAGAAGGGCGGGCGCATCGCAGCCATCTTTCCAAAACAAGCTTGGAAAGGTCGATAGTCACGGACCAACTGTACTTGCGGCGTGTAATTCGCCTCGGTCTCCAGAGCCAGAAAGCGGTCAAACCCTTCAAGCCCTTTGAGGGTCTTCCCAAACCCACGCCTCTCCCCCCGCTTCTTTTGACCCATGTCTAGGTTCGGGCGGTGGTTCCCCCCCTCGCCCGGACCCTTGAAGCTATGTCTGCAACCGCGCGAACATGCGCCCACTATATATCTTAGAAACCAGCTCATGCATTTCGGCGCCAACTCACTCACTCAAACCCACAACACTTCAAGCAAAACCAAAACACAATACCTGAAAGCCAACCCCAAAAAATACCGGCTGAGGCGGGCCCCGCGAATTACAATGATGCTGCGACACATCGCCTACCATTCACAGAAAACTCATGTTTGCACTGCTCGGTGAAAGGCTTGTGATAGGCTTGTGCAGCATGGTGCCTTGCGAACGGCAAGAAGGTAGAAGAATCCCACGGAGACCTCCTGATCAAGTCATGCAGCAAAATGGAACGACGGACACAAGCACCAACATTTTCAACTTCTGCAGGGAGAGAATTGCTGAGCATCAGGCCAAGTGCCAGCTCAAAGCATAATGTGTGCCTTACGTGCAACAAGTAGCGTAGCTGGTCCTCTGCAACGCCTGAGGTCCCAGCGGTGGAAGCCGCGGTTCAAGAGCTCCTGCTGCAGGTACCTTGAGTCATTTACGTGCCCAGTGTTCTAGCCAACAGTTGGCTTAGAAGGTGTTGTTCGACTTTCAAATTGTTTGGCGCTCTTCAGTTCTTCTCAGAATGTCGACTGAGGCAGCCACTGCGCATTGTCAATACCATCGAAGTTATTGCCAAACGTAAGCATCATGATGCCGCATCTGGCGCCCACGGAGAAGGCTGGCAAAGCTTCCGTTCAGAATGGATCAATCAACATGGATCAACGGTGTTCACTCTACACTCGAGAGCCCCAGTCTTCGACAGTCATGGCTGGCAGTCTTATTGGCGCTCTTGAGCATGCAAAACCAAGCGCTGACCCCCCAACCACACGGGAGCAGGTTTTACCATTGCGCATGGTGCGCCTGGTTGGACTTTGGATGAAACCACTAAAAAGTTTTGAGGGTTGCCAGCGCCCCGAACCAAGGCTCCGAACCCTATAGATCTAAACCGTAAACCTAAACCGTAAAAACAAATCTAAGCCCGAACCCTCGATTAACAAAATGAAACCTGAACCTAAAACCTAAAAGCCCTCAACCTAAATCCTACACCTAGACCTTAGCCAGTGTCGTCTGTGTCTTCAAAACCAAACGAAAACACACGGAGACACACACACACACACCATTTTGGGGGGTTTAGGGTTTAGGGATTTAGGGACAAGACACACCTGTTTAGAGCTGGGTGATCCTCAGCCCTTTCGAATCTCCTTTCAAGCGGCCGTTTGACTCCTTGCGGCCGAACCGGTAGGACTCGGTCCTGATCTGGGTGGCTATAGTATTACAACAAATCCTATACTCCACCTAACTTTCCAGCGGTCCGTGTCGCTTGGTAGTGGAACGTTTTCGCACTTTGAGTCTGAATCAAAGCAACAGCCAGCCTTGCCAGCAAGGGCCAAATCCTCTCCCGGGCGGACGTACTGGCCTGCATGCCGTTAACTTTTGACATATGCAGTCACAGGCAACCGCGAGGGCCCAGGACTCACTCTTGTTCGAAGACGAATTGACCAAGTTTCGCGGCCCAGGACTCACTCTTGTCCCAAGCCATATTTACTTTGCTGTTAAGCGAAGACGTCGCTGGTTTTATTTGAACACCCTCGTTGCGCCTCTGTTAGCGTCACTGCCCCAACATTCATACACCATGGACCAATGGATCCATGACAAAACACCAAACCTTGAATGGTATGGTGTAGCAACTTGCTCGCTGGGAAATCGCTAATTAGACAGCCGGGGTTGGCTTCCGCTTGTTGTTGATTCCTTGTCAGAACCTTTCGTGGTGGCCGTGCATCGGCTTGCTATTTGCAAGCACCAATCAAGAAAACCCAGCCTCCGTAAAGGACCAAAACCTGGCAAAAAGATTCAGCTAAGCACAACTCTCGCGATTTCGGCTCAGTTTTTGAACTCCTGACTCGACTTTAGCCCAAATTCCCACTACTGTACATTTTAGCAAGCCTTTCGCTTTGTCTGAGCGATCAAGACGCATTTTGTCACACTGGTTCTTTGCTTGTGAATCAATGGGCCACGACCTGATAGAGTCTGCAACCCGAGATCCTTTCATTCTTTCACTACGGACACCACTGATACTACGGACACAACTGATGGCAGCAAGACCCAAGAAAGAGCGTCGTGGCAGCATCAGCATCTGCCATCATCCTGGCATGTGCCGCTATGAGTTCACATTTGCATTCTTTTCCACCGCATGTCAAACGCCTTTGCAAGTTCACGTGGGACTTCAAAGCAATCATTCGAGGCATCGGCATCTGGAAATCGCACCTGCTGGCGGTGTGGTGCTTTCCAGTGGAGTCCATCAGCAGCACGCCATTCCGACCTCATGCCCAAGGAATCAGCACCACGCGCCAAAAAAACCAAACGCATAAGGGTGAACAATGCTGGCCATGTCGCCCAAAAGTGGCATGAGCAGTTTTCCTCTGGCTAGAACTGCTGTTAATCGGCATGATACGAGCAGCTGAGGCTGGCGCGAAGGGGTGCCGTGTGCCATCTGCCTGGAAGATCCTGCAAATAATTCCGCACGATTCTTCTCCGTCAACTTCGTTCTGCACAACACGGGCAGGGAACGAACTGCTTGAAATCAAGTCCTCCGCAAGGTAGGCCGGGAGGCCAGAGAAGCGAAGCCAGTAGCCTTTCGCTCCACGAATCTCCGGAATATAGGACCGTGGACAAAGGACAATACCATACAATACCAACACCCGTTCTCGATCCAAAGAACGCTACGCATCACGACCAGATTACAAATCAAGGTGCCTGAAAGAAGTTGTTCAACGCCTTGAAAACAATGAGGCATCTTGGAAACAGGAACAATGCTGAAACTCTGGTGGACTGTGCTGGAAGGTTCATACATCATGGCCGTGGGTCACATAGGTGGATATATATATATATATATACGGTGGATGTGTCAACGTTGAAGGGCTACATGTTGCATCTGTTCTGGAATCAATCGCTCCAATAGGGATTGCAAACAGTGTCTGTGAAACCAAACGGCAATGACTGAACGTAGCCAGCCCAGCTGTGGGGAAGTTCACCTCAATGCTAGTGGTAGGCAACATGGACAAACAACATCACAAATAAACATGTCAAGCAAAGCTTGTCGTTCCAGCTACCACCGGCAAGGACAAATGTACTGGCGCTATCTCGGAAGCCGGCATGTGTGTCTTATCAGCGAGGCACAATAGTTGTCTACCTCCGGGTCAAGCTGAGGAATCGATGCAATTAGGACCATCGAAGGCCCATTTTGCAACACAATCATGTGGTGGCCCGTCAGGCACTACTGAAACGTGCAAACTTTCCCAACGTGCGTGACCCCCCCCTCGCTTTTCCAAGCAGCGCTGCAGCAGCAACATCGGTGGAAGATCTATCTCAGGCAGCCGGCTTGAGTAAGGCCGCAATAATGACATGCTCAGTGTTGCACATTGAATCACTCTGGCGAGTAGACTTTGAAAGGAAATCAGCGCTCACTTTTAATCATGTTTTGGAACGCGCCTTTCCCCTCTCTCTCTCTCTACCTCTTTCTCTCTCTTTGCTACTCGCTGAACCAATGCCGCAGTCTAATGTTTTTGCATTTTCTCTGTTTAGGACTCAGAATTAATGAATATCAACCATGTGTTTGACATCGCATCGCTTCCTCGATTCTGTGGCCGCTGCCACTAGGTGCTTGCCGCTGAAGCCCAAGTCCCGCAATGCTGCCACCTGACGTCGTAATGCAATCAATCGAACAGAATCAACCAATCAACAAACTGTTGAGCGCTAGCACAACCAAAAAGTATAAACACGCGCTGGATCAGTTTGGAGGCGGCGATGAAGGCTCGTGTAATGCCAGTCCAGTGAGAACAGTGGATCACTCAGGCCCCTGCCGTTTCACCAGCACCCCCGCCGAACTCCACCTTGCCGGATGACCAAACTCAGGCTATTTGGAACGCGTGGTGTTTGCTTGTCTATGCATGAAGCCAGCATGCGCCAAACCCGTGCTTCAAAACATGGATGGCAACACATTAGAAGATCTGTGCCTCATGGTATTGTGTATCTGCCACCATCATGCTTGTATGTCAGGACTGCACTTTGACTGGGGTGTCCAGCAATATGGGTCAGCTGCTGCACATTGATTCCAGCCTCATGCGCAGTGGCATCAGCATTGCGTGCTATCCACACTTAAACTACCAGTATGGAAACTGCGCACGTGAGGGCCTCCTGGAACAACTTCCAGTGCCTGTGGCAAACGCAAACTTTCTCTCTGAGGTGCTTGCGGCACGTCGAAGGATTCGGAAGTGTTGCAACTCCTGCATCGTAAGGAAACTCCGGCAAGCGTGGCCAGTGGCAAGCATGGGTTTGCAGTCATTTGGCTCAATGGTTTCATACAGGGATCAGCATGAAATAGTCAAGCTAATCACGCCATGAAACCGCCCCACTTGCCAAACTTTGTGATGCTTTCGTTGTGCAAGGTTCGTGCAATCTTGGCTGAGTTGGACACGAAAGCTCGTTTCCAGCTGCAAGAGCCAAAAGTTACCCCACAACATCCACTTGCCTGAATCCGTTTCCGCCGAAATCGCCCTTCAGGCAGGTGGAGCGTCTCCACCTGCCGGCAACAGCGAGGTTCAGACACAAAGTCGAATCGCGAAGCAAACGCATTTCATAAACTGGGAGGTGGGAAACGAGATCAGGCTGGCGATTTCTGCCAAACTCAGTGCTCGCTATCAGCACCGCGCTATCAGCCCTCCAAACCAGTAGCCAAAGGTCGCCTTTTCCTGGCAAATCCAGAAACCACTCCTCGGCCACACAGTTGCCATTATGGAAACTGGCCATGGCTGCCCTGTGTCCATGCAAACCCTTCAGGCTCATGGAACTCCATCTAATTGCGATGCGACAGCTTGAAAACCTTCAAGGTGCCTGGAGCTTGGCTTGTGCCATTCCGAATCACTGAGGAGTCGCCAGGCGCCAACATTCGGCACTCCCAAGCGCATGGCTCTAGCAAGGAGAACATCTATCTTATCTGGACCAAACCACACATTGATTTCATGGATTTTTACGATTCTTGCTGGTTTAACAATCTTGTAACACAAAAATAATCACCTGTCTCGCGCTCAGGGTTTCCCACCAATGGAACGCGCCGGGTGAAACACGAAAAACTCAAGCTGCCGCGAACGCCATTTGCTTTGTCAACAGAAACCAGCCACAGGGTAACCGATCTTGACACGCCCGTGTTGCTGGCTTCTGGACAGGCCTTGAGCGAATTGAAAACCTTGTCTCAGCCCTGTCCTCTGCACACCGTCACATCGTCTATGTCAGTTTTGATTTGCCAGTGTCGGGTCTTGTGACTCGGCATGAGGACCGGCGGACGCCCAAAAGGTATTCACACCATAGTAAAAGACCTTGGGACTGGTTGCATGACACATCTGACACATGGAGCTATAGCTTCACTTCTTTGGTAGCATTGCGCATCCATGTTTGTCTGACAGCAACACCTAAAGGCACTCTTTGATGACAAGTCAATCTGCGTTTGTATCAGGCCGAGCGGCTTGACCAAAAGCAATGTGGCGAATCCGACCTGGCAACGTAGCCAGCCAGCTGCGTCAAATCATTATGCGTTTGCCAAAACACCTGCGGCTGAAAGCCATTGTATGGCCTTGTTGGTTTCTAGTTTCGAACATTGCAAGCTGGCAAACAGCAACACCATGTTCCCCATCCTTTTCACCATTGTCTAAGTCACAACCCAATTGTAGATCGACAAGAAACAACCCCAAGTCTGACTTTGACAGCTTTCTAGAAAGAGGCAACTTGATGGCCCAGCAATTTTGCCAAGTCACGACAATGACAAAGAGAGGAATTTTGGAGATGCAGTCTGCGACTGGCTGACACAGGCCTACGAAAAGGCAAATAATGACCTCAGCGGTCGCGACTCAACAAAACTGTGAAAACCACATAGAACTCCATGAAACTATCTGCCATGTTTACTGCAAGATGAACACGCTCTCAAGCTGACAAACAGTAGTAGTTCAAGCAATAAGTGCCAAACAAATCAACAATTTGCTGACTTCACAGGCAAGGTGCAATCAGCATTGCAGCTGTCAAAGCTCCGATCGATAGCTGCATGAAGTCGAACCTGACACGCAAGCGCTGGCACAGGTTGCCAAACATAGGCAAACAACAACACAGCCATGGCAAGGAATTGCAACCATTCACACGATGTGCTGTCAAGGTGCCCTTTGCCCACCAACATGGGCACGAAGAGCGTGAGGTCATCCAATGAACCAATAAAAGCGATCACAAACAACGTCTGCGTTTGTGCGCTCTCCTCAAGATGGAATCTGATTGGCACTGAGATAAACACTCTACAAGACATGGTTTCTCATGCAGCAGAATTCGAGCCGACTCCGATATTCACAATGATGCTGCCTCCTCTCGATTCACCCCTCATGCAACTCACGTCTCCTTGTCATCAGCTGCCTTGCGCTCGCCATCCTTAGTAATTTTGGAATGGCAACCACTGTCCTTTTCGACACATCAGCAAAACAATCTTTCAAAACATGTTCATCTTGCTGTGCCCCGCGCACCGCACACGTTTCGAGGTACATCAAACATCGGCGGCCCTGACATGTGCTTCCATCCAAGAAACGTCGGCATTGGCGGATTCAATCGGCCTGTTTCTAGCAGAGGCCATGAGCTGCCTGGGTCCATCGCAAAATGTACTTGTTCAGCAGGCAATGACATTGATGACAACACATGTCCTTTCTGATTGCGGAGAACACACACACACACAGCAAATCGCCCAACAGGCTGCCTGGATTGTTGCCGTGAGGGCGAGATCTCTCCTCCAATTCCAAGCTCTTGATCCCCGGGACTCACTTTGGAGTACTTGTTCCTGGGCACATTTGAATCATGCAACCACTGCAAATACCGTGGCGAATGTGCGAGTGCATGGGAAGCCAGTCCTTCAACGTTAATCTTTTGACTTGTTCAAAAACAAAATGAACTTGAAGGGGGTTGGCTTTGTGAATGGCAAGTTGCTTGGATCCAATCAAGCTAAGCATCTCGTCGCCTGCATCCTCCTTAGTATTCTCATCACCATCGTCGGTTTCGTTCCACCACTCGTGCAGGAGCTTCACAGAGTACACTGCTAGCATGGAACCAGCGAGGACTGTCAGAATCTTCTCCGAAGACCATGCATCCTTCGCATCCCTGGTCAGAATCTCCTCAGCTGGTGTTGTAGACAAAAGGTGTTCCGAAGCCGGAAAGTAACTATTGGAGGGTGTGCTACGCGCCCCCAAGGTTGGACACACGTTTTCTTGTTTGGTAGTTTGAGAAAGGACTTGGAGGACCCAAACTGATCTTTCAGCAACTCCCCAGAAACTGCGGCCTTGATGTGCCACGTCTTGTACCCTCGGCATTTTTTGCGAGGAAACATGAACATGTTTATCCATCGGAAAACACAACGGATTTCACATCTCATCATGATCATGTCCTTGGCTCAGAAATCACGCGCTCATTTCATTCTCCCAAACGTGTAACACATGTGGACAACAAAGGAACATTTCCCCTGGATGTACCACTATGCCGTGTGCCCACTTCAACTCCTTTCCAATTTGTCGCGCTCTTGACAAACCTGCTGCCAAAGAATCTTCTTGCCGACGTCAAGGGCATGTCTTGGCAATCTGACAACAAAAACATGTGCCAAGCTGCAACGACCTTGTTGCCCGAGTATGCGATGCACATTGCCAGCATTGTCTGAACCTGGATGAATTTTACTGTCGGCCAACGGAATTCATCAAACCCATAGCAATTACAACCTGCAAAAATCTGATCAAACCCAGCATACATTTCGGATCGTGCATGATTTTGACTAATGGATTGTGCAAACTGTTTGATAATAATTTTCGGTTCGGATGATTAGTCGCATGGATTGTAAAGAGCTGATGACAAGTTGATACTGACAAACCTATGGCCTACCCACACAAAACTGATTTGCTGTTCCAATACTTCACGTGCAAACTACGCTGCAACCATATCCCCCTCTTCCACATGTCTTTGCGATTTGAAATCGAACTGTGAAGCTGTTGAACTGCACTAGTCACCATACTCCAAACTCATGCATGGAATCCACAACAGGTATTGATTCACCTTGTCCTACCAACCTGTAATGTATTTGCAAAGGCTTGGCAACGCTGATGCAGGTTTGCTTTATAGAAAATGAGGAATATGTTCAAGTTCTTGAAGTCATTCATTTTTTCGGCCTCACCGTCAGATACAAATGTCTGATACAAAATGCATCATAACGAGACCAGCGCCACCTACAAATAAGATCGGGAATTCAAGCAAAGCTGCCAAGCAGACTGCCACGTAAATGCTGACGTTTCTGATCCGGGACAGCTTGCTGACGTTGTTCGTCAAAAATGGGGCCAACCAAACCACATCATCCTGAGCTCGCAACATGCGCGTAACAAGTGTAGCAACATCCTGAAACCGCATCAACGGATGCCGAAAATAATCAAACATCATCAACATACATATTTTTTGGTGACGTATGGTGACGCAAAGGCTCGATTGAAGATGATATTTTGATCGAAATGGCTGCACTGACACCTGCTGCCCAGTGTAAAATGGGTGACGGCATGGCAACGGAGGCGATATGATGAGAATGTTGTAAAATCAAAACAATCAATGGCCAATTTGCTGGGAAGGCAATGTTTGGTTTTGGCTGTCTTTTTTGGGGTGTTTGTTCTGTCGGTGGCACGTCTCGAGTATTCATGTTCGGTTTGAGACACATATTTACCGTCATGCAACTCGTGCGATCAGCATCTAGTTTAGCATCATTCCTGATTCCGCTTGACAGCAAAACGGTGCACAGTGCAGTTTGCGACATGCCAACTTGTTCAAGATGTGAATCAGTGGATCTCCAATTTCGCACATTCAAACCTGCAATCAACTACTACATATCAATGAGTTTTGGCATGCACAGCCTTGGCAGCCTCTCTGCAAACTGAGTTTGGGGCCGCCGGGCTGCCGTATGCCAAAGCACGGCCGGCAGCCTCTCAGGATTTGTTGGCCGCCCTGCCCCCCCCTGCCCCCGCCGCTTTGTGGTGTCCAGCCCAAATAAATTTGATTTCGACGCATTCTGAGTTCAAAGGAGCCAAATGAATCACATTGTCCAATGCACGTATGAACTTCATCAAATGCAGTTGAAAGGCGGGTGCGTAGTAACTTTGGTATTCGGGGTCTCTCAGCAGTTCCTGGCGCGCCATATTTCAAACAAAAACGCATCAGAATGCGGAAATCGTGTCCTCCAGAATGGCCCCGTCCAAACCCGGCGTGGTCTCAGCCCATTTCCTGAGTTGGCGAGCCTCCTTCTCCGAATGCTTGAGGCATGCTGTGTTCGGAGCCAAATGGGTGGCAACCACCCATTCTCATGGAACCTGGCAAGTCCAAATTCACGCATCCAATGCGCCACAAAAATGGCCTGGCAAACTCCCTGCAGGACTGGAGGCGGGTCTCCTTGTCAGCCAATGAACGCATGTGGGCAGCCCACCTGAGGTGCGCTTAGTTTTGTGGAGCCCACATGGTCTAGGGTCGTGGCTGCCCAGTGAGATTCCATGCCTGAGATGGATCCCAAGGAGTTTCAACGCCCACCAACCAACATTTGTCTCACTGTCTCTCACATGGACACTGAGGTCCTCACTGCGTGATTGGACTCGGTGTGAAGCGACGTTTACCCCTCTCAGTTTGGTTTTTCATTGTTGCCAAGATGTAGAATCTTCGAGCCCATGGGCAAATCAAAACAACCACAAAACAAATTTCAAGCCACGAATTTCAGTCAAACTTCCCCGGCACAACTTCTCGCCATCTGAGGTGTACACGGTCATTCGGCCGGCCGCTTTGTAAAGACTTTCACCCAGGGAATCGATGCGGCACCTGAGCTACACACGGTGCCATCAATTGGTTGCTATGGATTGATAGAGCCAAAGGCCTGAAGCCCTGACTCGCAACTTCCAGGGCCATACATATACAGCACAGCAACGCACGGGCAGGATCTACAACACAAGGAATCATTGAGCCACGTCGATGTTCCTGCTTTATCACTGCGTGGCAATTGTGCGGCGCCGTGGGCCCTAGCCGCATTCTAAGAGGATGACGAAGGTTGAAGCTGGCCTCCCCGCCAGTGTGCCTGCTGCGACAAACGGCCAAAACACATCAAACAAACTCTCAATGCCTGCACTGGAAAAAAGCAAATATAAAACACATGCCCCAAACCTCACACGAAGCCTGTGTACTTACCGTTGCAAACAAAAATGCGGGCTGCACATGCTCATTTAAGCATCAGTTCAAAACTCAGTTGAGCAAATGTTTCTGTGGTATTGCAAGCCATTCCTTCACTTGGCTCAGGCGAGCACGCGCCAATCACTGAGCTGCTGCCTGGGACTGCCGCCACCAAGGAACTAAAAGTGCCGGCGCTTTGCATTGCCAGCCCGGCATGACTGTGGTCGCTGTTGCGCGTGCAATTTGTCAGGGCTTGGCCTTCTAAATCTACCCACACTTATTGCGCAACTTCCATCAACTCTCGTAGGTGGATGACGAACCTGATAGAAGCCTCGAATCCGAACACCCATCTGCATCATGCATCTACTTGCGCATTTGTTTATCTACCTAAGCTAACCCAATCTAACCAAATCGAACTGATCTATCTCCCTGTCCCTCTACATTTAACATCTCACTATCTATCTACCTATCCTATTTATCAGTCTATCTATCTATCTCTCTATCTATCTCTCTGTCTATCCTGTCTACCTCTCTCTCATCAACTCGAATATAATCTGTCCATCCACGGATCCATCTATCTAACCTTTTCTGCCTATGTTCTCTTTACCAAATCTCTCGAAGTCTAATCTAACATAATCTACGTATCTGGCCCTGTTTCAACAATGATCTGTGTATCTAGCTCTCTCACCCCTCGGTTTATCAGTTTCATCCATGTCTCTACCTATCTATCCGTCCCTCTGCATCTGTCTTTCTATCTAAGTACCCCTCTCGATCTATCAATATCCTCTATGTTTCTCCGTCTGTCTGTCGATCGATCTATCTCATCCCCCAGTCTATCAACCTCATCTACCGGCCTGCCTACTGTACGTGGTCACCTATCAGTCTGTTCTAACGTGCATATGAATCCTAATCAAATCTGGTCTTGTCTAACCTAACCTAACCTATCTATTTGGTTCAACTAGCCAAATCTACCTGTCTACCTATTTCTCATCAGTCTATCTCTCTATGTGTCTGTGTCTCTGCAGTACCTCTTTCTATCTCTCTCTATATATCTATCAATCAGTCTATCTAGTCTGTCGAGCTATCTATCTCTCCATTTCCATTTATCTATCTAGCTTTGTCTTTCTTTCTTTCTTGCTATCTGTCAATCTTTCTATCCAACCCGTGCATACACCTATGTAAAAACCTATGTGTATCTCTGTCTATCTTGCGTTAATTCTTGCTCCCTTTCACCTGTCTAGCTATCGTTCTATCTACTTCTTCCGCCCTCTCTCTATGTCTGTCCGTTTGTCTATCTACATCTGCCTGTGTCATCATTCTATCCATCTACGCTCGGTGCCTGCCAATGACCATACGGCTGCTACGCGCTCTCCAAAGCCATGAAATGTGCTCGTAACCCTCCAAAGTTCGGCGCCTGCCACAAAATTTGACCACAGCACTCCAAGGTGCTCCGCTAGTCACGAAAGGTGAGCTTCAAACGACGCAGCGCGCGCTCAACAGGGTCGTTTCAACAATACAAATACAACATACCGAATCGTATCGTTGCGTATTGCGTGCTATCGGTATCGAAAAGCAAGTATCGCAACCTCACATCGTATCGAAGACTATCGCTGCAAATCGTTTTGAATCATACCGATTTGTATCGGTATCGGTTGGGGTTTGCTTTGAGGGGCCCTTTGGGGCCAGAAGGGCGGCAGCCAGCGGCTGCTGTGCTGGTGGCTGCCTGGCACGGGAGGCGCTGGCAAAGTCTTTGAGAGGCTGCTTAGAAGAGACCCTCTTTGGAGAAATGGAAAGCCAAGAAAACAGACTGAGACTGCTGTTGAACACTTCCCAGGGCTCATCCGGACAGCTGCAACCAGCCGAGGCCAGAAATCAACCTAACTCGGCGATTTAGATCTTTTTGGAGGGTTCCCACTTCTCAGGGCTCATCCGGGATAGCTGCAACCAGCCAAGGCCAGAAATCAACCTAACTCGGCGAGTTAGATCGTTTTTGAGGGTTCCCACTTCCCAGGGCTCATCCGGGACAGCTGCAACCGACTCCCCAACCGGACCAAAATTAATGTCGATTTCAGACCTCTTTTTGAGGAGGCTTGTAAGAGTACTTTGGTGTAGTACCTGCAGAAGTGCAGGCTCGATTCTTGCTTCTTTCGGGCTTTTGGCGACGAATTCGAGGTTCCGGCCTGTTGGCAGCACAGCTTGCACACCAGCGCGCAGCCGCAGCGCCGCAGCGGTTGAGTATATTCCTTTATCGAGATATTGTTCAATACTCCCCTGCTGTATCGCAAGTTTGTCGGATATTCAAAGCAATACATATCAATAAAATCGAGTGGTATCGCGGAGCTTGCGGTACCGAACCGTATCGTCATCGAAACAGCCCTGCTCAAAGTACCGTGCACGGAATCCAGCTTTCAAAGCTTTGACGCGTTTACAACGCGAGTCAGACATCAGCACAGAACTGTGGCGCCAGAATGATTTCGACCGATATTGTCAAACGATGAGCTCGCCAAAACGAGCCAGTTGCACGACAGGGCCAACGAAAATGACGCCCGCGCAAACGCTTGCGCGCGCAATGGGAACCCTTCTGCTACGCATTCGGGAAACAGTTCAAGCCTCGGGGCAGCCCTCCTACATACAAGTTGATAAAAAAGCAGAACCTAGCTTGAAGCACATCATCGTGCATTTGCGGGAAAAACAGCGATTCCTGCAACAAGACGTCTGGAGGAGTGGCAAAATGAAACCGATGCAAGAAGTGCAAATGCGAAGAATGTGAATTGCAGCTGCGACCAGTCCACTGGGATTCTTCCCCGCACAACTTGTTCATGCTACCCATGTGGAAGCTCTCATTGGCTGGGCCAGCGGCTCATAGGCCTCTGCTCCAGGTGCCTGGAGATGTCTGTCTGAACACGTTGCGGTGGCTTCCCCTGCCAAAAAATCGGCAGATGACAAACCGGCTTCAAGCTTAGGTTTTGGAGGCCACGTCTGCGGCCTCAAGGCCTCCTGTTGCATCCACCATCTGCTCTAGGCCTTAGCTCTTCTGGGCCATCGGAACCCTCTGACGCGTAATGGTGTCTCCACCAAGCTTTCCACCGTTGCAAACATTTACAAACACGAAACAGCAATCTGCTGCCTTGACGTACCGCACAAAACCAAAAGGCCCATCGTGTTTGAATTCAGTCACCCGCTGGATCCAGCTTCTGGGAAGTTGCTGGCTTATCGAGTCTCTGTAATGAGGATCCATCAAAGCGCCAAACACATGACCTCACAGAACGAGTTATGCATGCCCTTGAAGACTCTACTAAAGCAGCTCAGGTCATCTAAGAGCAGCTGCTGCTTTACATGTGAACTGTTGCCGGACTGGTGAAAGGTTCACCGGTCAGGAAAGCCAAACACACTCCGCATCTCCAAAAAACGAATTTTCCTCCAACAATTGCATGCGCACATACGCACGCTTGCGCGAGGGTACCCACACCCACACACGTGCACATAGCCCGCACGCACCCTCCCTCTGTCAATCACACGTGCATGCAGGTACACACACACACACACACGAGGGTCTACACATGTGTAATTGGATTGCTGCGCAATAACGCTTTCAAACCAACGCTTGGGCTTATGCATGGCGAGGATCCCATGCACGCAATATGGGTGCGTCCTTCTCAGGGGTATTATGGATATCCAATGTGTGGTGGCTTTACAGGGGGACCAAAGGAACAGCCTGCATTGTGCGGGTCTAAAAGGACAAACGCGCATGAAGGCAAAGGCTGAGCGTCCTAGCGGCTGATGGTGTCACAGAACCGCAAGGTGGCCTCTGCGGTCATGGGAAGCTGTTGGCTGAGGCAATTAGTTTGAGTGGCACCCGGATGCTGGCTACTGACAGGCTGATGACCATGACGTTGTCAGCAATGCACCCGTGCACGTGCAAGCTGGGTTTAGAATTTGCTGACATGCATGTCATATTTTTATGAAAGAAAGGCATACAAAATAGCAACGTACCAGCCAATCTGAGCAAGAATTGGCCCCCCACCACTGCTGATTTATACGCACCTGTATCCGCCAAGCTGGCCACAATGACCCGCCTATGCATTGCATTGCATGCATCAATGTCTAGGAGCAGCGCGTCCATCTCAGCCTCATACATAGACACCTGCCAGGGACGAACACTTGCCGCCTTTTGAAGCGTCAGCCGGCTCAGACGTGACCTCCCACACGGCCGGCCACTTGCACATATCTGGCCTGCAAGTTCTGCAGCCTTGTGACCTGGCAAAGTGGAAGCACATTATGACCTCCAATGGCCAATATCTCTTTTGAAATCCTCACCATTCCTCATCTGAGTATCTAGTTGAATGGTGCAAGCAGCAACCAGCCCAACAGCTATCTACACGCTTTGATTTTCTGAGCAGGCCTGCACTTGTATGGCAACGAACGCCCAACCATGACATGCCCAGCCTGAAGCTAAAGAAATTGAATGAATTTCTGCAGGTGCTTGATGCTGCCCTCCCTCCCCTCCCTCCCCTCCCTGCCCTCCCTGCCCTCCCTGGCTCCCAATCCCCCAACGATGTGTCGACTGCCTTGTCATTGTCGTCGGCTGAGCATATACCAAGGCCGCCCGTCGTCAGAACAAGCCTCAAGCACACCATTTCTGTTATCCAGTACGAGGCAACTCAGGCTTTCGAAGCAATCAAATCAGCATAGTTGTATCGGTATATCTTTTAATTGTTCATCAGTCGGCTCAGAAAAATCGGCTCAGAAAAAGTGGCGAGTAGCAGGGTCCCACAACAATGAAGTCCCCACCAAAGCAAACACACCTCATGCAAGAAGAAAGGCGCACACTGATGCCCAAGCCACAGCACGATTAAATAGAGGAAATCTCTGGAGTTTCTGAGGCTGGTGCACCCCGCGCACAAGCATGAGCTTTCCAGGACATCAGCTGGAACAACAAGCGCCCTACATGATTCACATGGCGTTACAACTTTCAAGCCGAACATGCATCTGCTGATCGATGCAAGCGTTCAGCTGGCTTATCTTGGCCCGAGTATGTACAGGCGGTATGCTTGACGTGCGCTGTCAAGATCAACGAGTTGCTTCCTTCGGCTAGGAGCCCATTGAGTTCTGCTCGGCACCCAGTAGCTGCAAACCTACGCAACACATTGCAGAACCAGTGCAGGCACATGTGTTTAGCCCTGCTGGGTGACTTGAGCATCTGCCAGCTTCAGCGCAAATTGCAGCGGGCCTGCCTCTTGCGTGTAGGTGAAATGTAACCTCTTTTGGCATGAGCGGAAGCTAACGTTTCCCGTGAGTGAATGATAGCCCTACCCATGACCTTCCCAACACGGCAGCCCCTCTAGGGGACCAAACGTAAGGCGGCAAAACTAGGCTTACGCCTGGCATACAAAGGAACGAAACGGCTTCTCAAGCTTTGTCTTCTTTTCTCCTCGGCTGTCGCTAACTTGCGTATCGAAGAGCCTGTGGCCTCCGGTGCTAGCGGCTCATGATTTGGCATAAGCAGCCGTGGGGTGAAACACTGATTGGTCAGACCCAGCGGGAAGCAAACTGCACTTTGGGTTTTGACTTGCAACGGACTGAGTCCGTCAACGCATCAAGCTGAGCAAATACTAACCTTTTCAGCAGCAGGCGAAGCAGGGGGCTTGAAACGTAAATATAGCGACACGCTCAGTGTGTTTGATGCCATCCAAACCAATATGCCCGGCATGCATTGAGTAGCTGTGTGTTGATTCCATCTGCAGTCAAACCACTCTAAGCGAACGAATCCCGCTCTCAGCACAACTGCTGTCCTCCTGGCGCTAGTGGCTGACTCTAGCACTCGGCTTCCAGTATTAACTGGACGTATCTCCAACATGAGCGTTGTCCTTAACACTTGCACCCGCCGACGAAATGAAGCAGCCATACTGACCAACACATTGGCAATTTGTTCATGTGATCTGCCTGCTGCTCAAGCAGGGCTCACAGCCAATGGGCGCAGCACAGGGGCAGACCTTGGCTATCATGTCATGCAATCACATAGCCGGAACGTTTCCACAAATAGATTGTTCATTGCGTGTGCTGGGCCGGGGATGAACGCGTTGTTCAAGCGATCGCTCAGTGACTCAGGATCTCATGCTGCGGACATGCTCACTGTCAGAGTGTCACTCAGGCATCTTGATTGGCACATCACTATGCAAGCGTCGAGTAACTTCAGAGACAGTGAGATCTGTTGAGCGCAGAAACCTGAACGGTGGCAGTCTAATGTACGGCCCTCTATGTCTTTTTTTGCCCGCTTTTTTTGCCGGGGCATCCTTTCGGCTTCAGCCCGGTCGCTACCATTACTTCAAACAAGCATGTCCTCCTGCTGTCTGCGTCATCCGCTTCAAACCCTGCATGACCACAGTCTAACGATGAACCCATGCTCTGCTTGGGCACCAGCAGGCCCTGCTTGTGGCCATCACACATGTCCATTGTTAGTGCTTGACTGCATGCTGCAAAAAAACACAACTCACTGGGAAGACTAGCAGTTTCCCTGTCGTGCTGTGACCAATCATGATCTTCATCTTTTTAGGCAGGGTACCACATGTCAATATTGACCCTTTGGCAAGGGGAACGCTCACGATAGTTCAGGATGTTCCCAGTATGGAGCTTGCCTGGGATTGTGAAATTGACGGACTGCAATCAATCCGTCCACCTAGAAAGCCTCAAGAAACACTGTCATGCCTGGAAGCACGGGCACATCGTGGCCAAATATCTGATCAACGATTGGCGAGTTGGGGTTTCGACATTATCGTTCTTCTTGACATCCTACCGGGAGGAACGGGAGGCTATCTTCGAGCCTATCCAAACGGGGGTAGCTGACCCGGACGAGCAGCCACTGGGGGCTCTGCAGCAGCCCGGGAAGCGCCGAGCCAGGCCCCAGCAGCTCCAAGAGCTCCCGGGGGATGTCACTGGACACCTCAGTGGACAAGGCAATTGGCAATTCCACAGAAGCCATTCACTGGCCATTCATATGCCATTCGTGTGTGTGACAGTGTCAAATTTGTGTCATTCCCCTTAAGGGCATGGTGGGGAAAATTGGACGGGCCCGCCGGTGGTGCGGACTTTTGGCGCCCCCACCATGTTCAATGTTTGCCTGCACCCAACAATCAACTACCAACAAGTTTATCTTATATGCGAACATCCGCAAAACAATTGAAGAATGTGCTCATGCACGTGAGTATCCATGTGGCACCACTATACGCAAGGTGGCTGTACTCGGATTTGCGGGGTTAAGTGGCATTGTCTTAACATATCAGCCAACTACAGCTGGCACGACATGGATCCCGGCCTGGACCATCAGCCCCCGCAACAGCAAAGCGCAGATTTCTGATTAATGTAAAGGTGACCCAGCGCGTTTGGAGAGGAAGCCCCACGTAATTTGGAGAGCCGGGAACTGACTAAAAGGCTTTCGGGTGGCTGGATCTCACGTGAAAGCAAGATGTTTGACGCAACGCAGTGAGGAAATCCATTTGGTAGACAGCATGAGGGCGTGTTTCCTGAAGAAAGCGCATTGTCTCTCCCAGCCCTGGCCGAGGCACGTGAATCTTTGAGGCTGTGCGCGGAGACACCCAGCCCTTCACAAACTTCCAGGCCATGGTGAAGATGGAGCCAGAGCGGATGACGAAAATGTGGGACACCTTGTGGCATCCTTTGCCCTCATAAGTCTGCCATCGGTCAACCGTGGCAAAAGCTGACATGTGGCCACAGGCTTCTAAAAAGTTTATGACTGGAGAATGAGCTGAGCCAGCGTGATCCCTGAGACACCTGCACATTTGCATTGATGACTCCATTCAACGTGATTGCCGTTGCAACGAGCTGGTCCAAAACACATTCAACACGGGGCCAAGCGACATTCACGAATCTAGTGCCATCCAGGCCTGCACGACAAATAATTCTTCTGCCGACTAACTGTGGGACTGATGCCATCAACACACATAAGAACAGGCCGTCATCTTGGCAAAAAGAAAAACTAATTGAAACTGTCCAACAACCCAGCCGTTCATATCTCATCTGGTGCTTTTCTCAACCTCAGAGGTGCTCCCAGAACGCAGGAGGCACCTGTTCCATGTAGTTCCTCAGCTGTCAATGCCGACACTTGCCCAACAGCCGCCCAAACGACCTTGACTCTGCAGTCTCAACATCGGATTTGTGTCAAGCCACAACATCCAGGCCAGGATTTGCATGCTGAGGCTGTGTTCACTATTGGGAGTCCAGGGAAAGGTCGCCAATGAAAGCTCTATCGAATTGCAAACCTGGCTTTACATCAAAGCGGAGGTGCAACCAAGCAGCTGGCCAGCTCCCAAAAGGACTCTGAACTTCTCAACCAGCGCTCCGCTCGAAACTTGCCTCAGTCGTGGCATGCAGCTCCTCACGACACCACCTCGCTCTCAAAATCCGGAGGGCACCCAGGCCCGAACATGCCCAACTACAACGATACACTCCAGCATGCCCAGCAACAGCCAAACATATCCGTGGACAACGGGGTGGGGATGTGGCCTCAAAAACAACGCAATCCATTCCTTGAGAACGCATTCTCCGTGCGATGACGCGTTGCTCAGCTGGTGATGCATGCACACGACATTGTTTGAATGCTGCAAAATACCGGCCCCACCAAGGCCCACTCAACCCTAGACCACTAGTGTGAAGGGGGGAACCCGCACACAACATCAAGTTGCCTTCAAATAAGGTCCAGGTGAAAATTTAGACGTTCGCCTTGCATGTGGCCCAGGGGAGTGCAAGGCGGTCGTGAAGGCACATTACCCTGAGAAAGGGACATTCTGAAGAAACACTTCACTATAAGATGGCGCTCAGCAAAACCACGTCACCATACGAAGGCCCGCCCGGGCCCCAAATAATATCAACAAAAACATACACTGGAGAAATGTATGGTTGTTATTCGGTGTCCAATTCATTTTCCAAAAAACGTGCTTGGTGGCTCCCCAAGTAAGACTGGAAGATAGGTCGGGGAGCTATTGGGCCCGTGTTTTGTGGTATTCGAGGGACCTTTGTATCATATTAGGCGGCAGGGATTAACGCATTTCAAAGGCCACCTCCCTAACTTCAGGCTAATTTGATTGCAGAGTCAAGGACTGCGTTGCCCAAGCGAAAATATCCCACACAACTCAAGCCTAGACACGACTCAAATGACCTCTCCACTCTCCGAACATCGATAAATTGAGCGCGTACAGCCAAGAACCAAAGCCAGCTGCTGCTAGCAGTTGCCCAACATTTCAAGGCAATGCATGGCTGTTGTTTTGATACATCTTGATGCACTATGTAGACTTCTCCGAGCTGTCCAGTGGGCCTATGCCTACGCGTATTATGTTCCCGCGGCCGTATACCCTTCAGAATCTGTCCTCGCTGGCAAAGTGTTGTCACTTAATTTTTGCTCAGGGCAATGTGTCTTCAAAATCCGTCCCCCAGCAGATTTGTCTTTGCTCTCCAATTCGCACTTGTTGGAAAACACATCTGATTGCACTGCTCAGTTCGTCCGAGTTGCCAAAAGCTGACATTGTGGAGATCATAGATCTGCACGTGCCCTGCCAACCGGCCGCTGGCTGCCGTCTGGTGCGTGAGCCACAAGTCAATGTATTCTGAAGTGAATACGCCCCACCTGCAGTGGGTCATATCAGGATTCAGTGCGCAACAAGCACCAGCACAAGTTGCCAAGCTAAACAGTGCCGTTGTTTGGGCGGATTCTCAATCTCCAGCCCTTGTCGTGTGGGGCCCGATATCAAAAATGATTCTGGAAGATCGAACATGTTAGCACGGGAACACATCTGAAATGGCAAGCCGACCGACGGCCTCTGCAGCTGGTCATCGCGTGCTTTCCCAGCGGCTGCCGCTTGTGCGGTGCCAACATGGTATAGCGTGACAGGAGAGCCATCTGTGGTCATCAGAGCGCAGGGGTTCACAGTGACGAGCTTGCCAACCTGGCGGCAAGTGAGAGTCGGGAGGGCACTACATTGGCTGGCATCAGGCCGTCATCAGTGCCCCCGATTTGGGAAACCTGATAACTGCAAGGCGCATCAAAAACTCAAAAGGCACATTGCACGAATGGATTCATGATTTGGCCTGATCCAAAAGAACGCTAGCGTTGCGACCCTGGCCTCCTGCTGAAATGAGGGCTTCAGCTCCTTACAGCTTTGCAGCTGTGATATGAGTTCCTGCCGTAGCTCATCTGCGCCTTGTCTGCTGCGAAAAGTCAATATCATGTCAATATCCCTTGCAGGTGTTCAAGCTTTGTTGCCGTGCCCGCTGCTTGCCATGCTTGCAAGTCCAGCATGGAGTCAGCTAGTCAGAATGCTTTGCCCTGGGAAGCGGGCGGTGCAACTTGCGCCACTCCAGGATGCCGTCGTACCGCCGAATCGCCTCCTCAAACGGTGTGCCATTGATCCGAGCTCCAGCTGATCTGGTGTGGCAAAGATACATGCGCACGCAAAAGTAAAAAAAAAAAAAACAGCCGTAGACGGCCTCTCGAACGAAAACATGATTTTTTAGTTCCAGTGTTCATTGCTTGGCATGTCGTGGTAATTTCAAACCAAGTCTTCTTGTTGAATTGCCTTCCCACTGTGGCAGTCCCAACATGTGCCTTATGCTAACCAGCTCAACATGCAGCAGCAGCAGGACTTTACGAGCGTCCCTCGCTGCTGTACTTTCAAATTCAATTCAAGGCCATGGTCTAAACCAAAGGTCAAGGTTTCCTTGGATGGGAATCCTCCCCTGCTAAAAGCCTGGCGCCGTGCCTATCCACTGCAAACAATGACAAGCGATGCTCAGGCAACACTAAGCGCCGTTTCGAAACACAGTTCGGATCCTGCAGGTCAAAGTTGCAGCCCAAGAAGAGCCGCAGCGCTGCTTGTTCCTTGCTTCCAGCTCTGCCGTTGCGAGGCAGGACCATGCCAAAGCTGCATGCTGCATTCAATCGATCGATCGCGTGCCCTGTCAAATGTCAAAACGGTCTAACAAAGAGAGTGGCTTCCAAGTGTGAGCCATTGCAGAAGAGTCATGCATGTCAAGACATGTGGGCCCATGCTTTTCTTTTGCAACTGACTTACCTGCTCTCGAGCAAACAAATGGTACAAATGAGGCTCACAGGGCTCCCTATGTTTCCCCTTAAAACCTCACCCCCACCAAGGGACACTCACCTCTTTTGGGCCAAAAAGGTGATGCACCAAAAAGAGAAATATAAAGCAGGGATCCCTCACTCACAACTGGAGCAATCTGTTTTTTGAGCCCATTGGATGTCCGATCAAGATAGCGGAGCATCTCGCTGTCCGAAGTGGAAGCTTTGGGGTTGCCTCGTCACCCGTCACTGATTGCTGGATGCAAGGCGCTGAGATCTCGTAGCGTTCTTGAAGCAACACCTTGCAAGCATGAGGAACGTCAAGCCCGAAGCGGGCCCCACAGCTGTACTTACGAGCGGATTTTTCACTGGTACAGTCAGCAACTAACCCAATGAAATGGCCTTGCGGTTCGCACGTGACTGCATGCCTGCGTGCGTGTGTGCATACGTGTGCATACGTGTGCGTATGTTTGTCTGTTTGTTTCTGTTTGTGTGTGCGTGTTCGCGTTCATGGGACTCTGGTTGGTTTAGGCAGGTCTTGCAGGGGAGCTTGGACGATTGGCTTGGGGCTCTTGGGCTTCACGGTTTGCACTGTGCGCTTCTGGCCTTGGTTTCCTTGGTTTCCTTGGCTTCCTTGGTTTCATGGGGAGCATGTAACATTTGATGAACGTCACTTTCGCACATGGATTTTCACTAGCACTGGACAAGGCTGAAAAGGGGAGATGGCAAGTAAGCTGGAGTTTGGTGAGAGCTGGTGCAAGGCACACATGCGGCCTGAAAGTGACTACGGTGGCAGCATGCTCGAACGCCTTAAAATGCTTCTTCAAGCTCCGGAAAAGGTTCACTGGCAGGTCCTCGCTTCTGTCCCGTGAAGCCCGTCACTTTAATTTGCACGCAGCTTATCGACCCCCTTGGGCGAAAACCTAAGTGAGTCGAGATGTATTGCGCTGCTGCGTGCACGTTTCGGAGCTATGCCTGACTCGACTGTGCTCAACCCACGGATGTCTATTCCTCCTGGCTCGACCCCATGTCAAGCGGCCAGGGCGTCCAAAGCCTCGCCCGGCGCTTTGTTCTCCGGCAGCTGTGAGACCCGGACCTATCCAGGAGTGACAGCAGACTCAAGACTGGTTGCTAAAGCTGCCGACCACAGCTGTCACGCGGTGCATGCGCTCCCCAATTCGTTTGTTTTGCACAGCCTTTCAACCTGTTGCAGAGGAAGCGCAAGGCACAACGCCCAACACAAAAGTTGCAACACCCCGTTGACCCAGAGCAGCCCCAAGCTGGCAGTTGCTTTTGTGGCACAAAGGTTGAGGGAAACATTGCCTGAAAGTTACTGCTTGTGCAACTGCAAACAGTGAAAATTCATTATCCCACATCTCTGTCTGAGTCATTTCAAGCGGCCCATTGCCCCTCTCGCATCTGGCTTAAATGCTGGGCACTGCTTCGCTCATTGAACGGCCTCTCTTCGTCATTCGATTGTGACTCGTCCCGTTATGTGAAGTCAGTGTGAGCTTCGCATGACTGTTTCATGGGCCGGGCCTCAATGCTGCCTATGCGAGCATACCCAGGGGACGGCTGCTTCAGCTTCAGTTGACCTGGCGGGGCGTCACGGATGAAGCAATGTATATGAAAGGAACGTTCGGAGACTTCTTCTGAATCTCGGGTGCTAGTTGTTCCGTTTGAAGTTTAAAGCCTGGAAAAGGGGAACTCATGAGAGGGAAGCGAAAGCCGCGGTTAAAGCACATGCAGGACTCAACCACATCCTTTGGCAGGCCTTCAGCAACAAGGACCAATGGGTTTCTAGTCTTTTGCTTCGTTTGAGTGCTCAATGTTGGACGGTGCTTGGAGTCCACTCATTCAACGCATAGACCCGGGCTTTCTGATCATTTCAGAACAAATGCAAACACTAGGGCCACGGGGGCCATGAGCGGCGAATAGCGGCTATTAAAATGGGGAGGCGGTCTGAGCAAGAGACAAGAGCCACATGCCGCATCTGCTTTGTCCCGCCTTCCTCGCGCGACTTCGCTGCTGCTTTGGTTTCCGCAATCGGCACTGTGGTGATCCCTAGCGGAAAAAAAAACCAAAAGTGCATAGATGCCGATAGCTTCTCGTTCCCCCCATTCAAAGCAGGCCAGTGCGAGCCGTGATCACATCAGCCAGTTGTGCAGACAATGGCTCAACTGTGCTTACATAACCCTTAGCAAGAATGACAGCATGACTGTCAAGCAGCTAGCCACCATCCCTCAGCTTTTGCATGCAATTACTCTTTTGTAAAGCGTTCCCACTTGAGAGATGCCCAAAGAGACTTTGTGGACTGTTCGTCAGTCAATGCGAAGGCCACGCAAATCAGCTTTGATTGCGCTTGACCCTGCACGTCCTTTCTCTGCAGCAGCCAGTTGGCCTTCGGACTTCTGACGTGGTGCTTCAAATGCAGTGGACCAAACCCCAAACCTGCCTGCACCCTGAGCAGTCTGCTGCTGATCTGGCACTGCAAGCGCAGAAGCCAGCGTGGCGGCAGGAGCAACACCTGTACAAGGCCAGGATGTTGGGAAGCAAACACGGCTTACAAGCGTGCCCGGATCGCCAAAGCTTCTTGGCTTTAGCTATCGGAAGAACTTGCACAACAACCAGCAACCCCTCAACGTGGCCTTCTTCCGGCGTAATCACCACCGCGTGAGTTTGTCCCTCTACGCCCCTGCTGAGCCCTGCTGCTCTCTCCTGCCTTCATCGCCCAGCGGCCGCGCAAGGGCTTGCACCTCTTCAGGGGCAGCAAGCGCAGGGGCAGCGCTTGAAGCAGCGCCTACGCCAAGATACCCGTCGGACACAGCAGGCTGCACGCAACCCGGCTCAAGGCAAAAGTGAACTTCCAGAAATTCCTGTGGTCTGCTTTCTGCCCTGGAATGCCCTGCAAACTCAGCCGACGCCTCACGCATGGCAATTTGATGCACACGCGTCTCCGTGATGGCTTGTGCCTGGGTGGGTGAACTGGTCAAAGGCCAGGTGTTCAAAGCAAAGCACGAAAGAACCCACGGGCAACTCTGGGCCTGATAATGCATGCTGTTCCTTGCCATTTGGATTTTTTCTTGCACTGGGCGGTTGTTGCTGCTCACGATGAAACCGTGCATAAGTGACTCCCGCCGTCCCGCCTGCACCCTCACCAGCCTGCCGCTGAAGCGCTCTTGGCGCTGCTTCCGCCTCTGGAGCTGCAAGCGCGGGAGCCAGCGCGGCGGCAGGAGCAACACCTTGCACAAGGCCAAGAAGTTGGGAAGCACAGCGCAACTGCACAAGCGTGCCAGAACTACCCCGAGCTAGTTCATGCAGTTTCTTGCCAGTTGGATCACAATCTAACGCGTTTACTGCTTCATATTCTGTGGGCCTGGGAGATTGATATTGCTGGCTTCACTGCAACGCCCGCCTGCACCCTCGTCAGCCTGCCGCTGAAGCGCTCTTGGCGCTGCTTCCGCCTCTGGAGCTGCAAGCGCGGGAGCCAGCGTGGCGGCAGGAGCAACACCTCGCACAAGGCCAAGAAGTTGGGAAGCACAGCGCGACTGCACAAGCGTGCCAGAACTACCCCAAGCTAGTTCATGCAGTTTCTTGCCAATTGGATCATACTCTAACGCGTTTACTGCCTCATATTCTGTGGGTCTGGGAGGTTGATATTGCTGGCTTCACTGCACCGCCCGCCTGCACCCTCATCAGCCTGCCGCTGAAGAGCTCTTGGCGCTGCTTCCGCCTCTGGAGCCGCAAGCGCGGGAGCCAGTGCGGCGGCAGGAGCAACACCTTGCACAAGGCCAAGAAGTTGGGAAGCACAGCACGACTGCACAAGCGACCAATAGTCATGCAGTTTCTTGCCATTTGGATCACAGTCTAACGCGTTTACTGCCTCATATTCTGTGGGTCTGGGAGGTTGATATTGCTGGCTTCACCGCAACGCCTGCCTGCACCCTCATCAGCCTGCCGCTGAAGCGCTCTTGGCGCTGCTTCCGCCTCTGGAGCTGCAAGCGCGGGAGCCAGCGTGGCGGCAGGAGCAACACCTCGCACAAGGCCAAGAAGTTGGGAAGCACAGCGGGGCTGCACAAGCGTGCCAGAACTACCCCAAGCTAGTTCATGCAGCTTCTTGCCATTTGGATCATAATCTAACGCATTTACTGCCTCATATTCTGTGGGTCTGGGAGGTTGATATTGCTGGCTTCACCGCAACGCCTGCCTGCACCCTCATCAGCCTGCCGCTGAAGCGCTCTTGGCGCTGCTTCCGCCTCTGGAGCTGCAAGCGCGGGAGCCAGCGCGGCGGCAGGAGCAACACCTTGCACAAGGCCAAGAAGTTGGGAAGCACAGCGCGACTGCACAAGCGTGCCAGAACTACCCCGAGCTAGTTCATGCAGTTTCTTGCCATTCGGAGCACAATCTAACACGTTTACTGCCTCATATTCTGTGGGTCTGGGAGGTTGATATTGCTGGCTTCACTGCACCGCCCGCCTGCACCCTCATCAGCCTGTCGCTGAAGAGCTCTTGGCGCTGCTTCTGCCTCTGGAGCCGCAAGCGCGGGAGCCAGTGCGGCGGCAGGAGCAACACCTTGCACAAGGCCAAGAAGTTGGGAAGCACAACGCGACTGCACAAGCGTGCCAGAACTACCAATAGTTCATGCAGTTTCTTGCCATTTGGATCATAATGTACCGCATTTACTGCCTCATATTCTGTGGGTCTGGGAGGTTGATATTGCTGGCTTCACCGCAACGCCTGCCTGCACCCTCATCAGCCTGCCGCTGAAGCGCTCTTGGCGCTGCTTCCGCCTCTGGAGCTGCAAGCGCGGGAGCCAGCGCGGCGGCAGGAGCAACACCTTGCACAAGGCCAAGAAGTTGGGAAGCACAGCGCGACTGCACAAGCGTGCCAGAACTACCAATAGTTCATGCAGTTTCTTGCCATTTGGATCACAGTCTAACGCGTTTACTGCCTCATATTCTGTGGGTCTGGGCCGAGTCTGGGCGGTTGATATTGCTGGCTTCACTGCGCCGCCCGCCTGCACCCTCATCAGCCTGCCGCTGAAGCGCTCTTGGCGCTGCTTCCACCTCTGGAGCTGCAAGCGCGGGAGCCAGCGTGGCGGCAGGAGCAACACCTTGCGCACGAGCGCGACTGCACAAGCGTGCCAGAACTACCCCAAGCTAGTTCATGCAGTTTCTTGCCATTTGGATCGCAATGTAACGCGTTTACTGCCTCATATTCAGTGGGTCTGGGAGGTTGATATTGCTGGCTTCACTGCACCGCCCGCCTGCACCCTCATCAGCCTGCCGCTGAAGCGCTCTTGGCGCTGCTTCCGCCTCTGGAGCTGCAAGCGCGGGAGCCAGCGCGGCGGCAGGAGCAACACCTTGCACAAGGCCAAGAAGTTGGGAAGCACAGCGCGACTGCACAAGCGTGCCAGAACTACCCCGAGCTAGTTCATGCAGTTTCTTGCCATTTGGATCACAATCTAACGCGTTTACTGCCTCATGTTCTGTGGGTCTGGGAGGTTGATATTGCTGGCTTCAGTGCACCGCCCGCCTGCACCCTCATCAGCCTGCTGCTGAAGCGCTCTTGGCGCTGCTTCCGCCTCTGGAGCTGCAAGCGCGGGAGCCAGTGCGGCGGCAGGAGCAACACCTTGCACAAGGCCAAGAAGTTGGGAAGCACAGCGCGACTGCACAAGCGTGCCACAACTACCCCAAGTTAGTTCATGCAGTTTCTTGCAATTCGGATCACAATCTAACGCGTTTACTGCCTCATATTCTGTGGGTCTGGGAGGTTGATATTGCTGGCTTCACTGCACCGCTTGCCTGCACCCTCATCAGCCTGCCGCTGAAGCGCTCTTGGCGCTGCTTCCGCCTCTGGAGCCGCAAGCGCGGGAGCCAGCGCGGCGGCAGGAGCAACACCTTGCACAAGGCTAAGAACTTGGGAAGCACAGTGCGACCGCACAAGCGTGCCAGAACTACCCCGTCATTTGGATCACAATCTAATGCGTTTACTGCCTCATATTCTGTGGGTCTGGGAGGTTGATATTGCTGGCTTCACTGCACCGCTCGCCTGCACCCTCATCAGCCTGCCGCTGAAGCGCTCTTGGCGCTGCTTCCGCCTCTGGAGCCGCAAGCGCGGGAGCCAGCGCGGCGGCAGGAGCAACACCTTGCACAAGGCCAAGAAGTTGGGAAGCACAGCGCGACTACACAAGCGTGCCAGAACTACCCCACCATGTGGATTACAATCTAACGGGTTTACTGCCTCATATTCTGTGGGTCTGGGAGGTTGGTATTGCTGGCTTCACTGCACCGCCCGCCTGCGCCCTCATCAGCGTGCCGCTGAAGCGCTCTTGGCGCTGCTTCCGCCTCTGGAGCCGCAAGCGCGGGAGCCAGCGCGGTGGCAGGAGCAACACCTTGCACAAGGCCAAGAAGTTGGGAAGCACAGCGCGACTGCACAAGCGTGCCACAACTACCCCAAGCTAGTTCATGCAGTTTCTTGCCATTCGGATCACGATCTAGCGCGTTTACTGCCTCATATTCTGTGGGTCTGGGGGATTGATATTGCTGGCTGTACCGCGCCCGCCTGCACCCTCATCAGCCTGCCACTGAAGCGCTCTTGGCGCTGCTTCCGCCTCGGGAGCTGCAAGCGCAGGAGCCAGCGTGGCGGCAGGAGCAACACCTGCACAAGGCCGAGATGTTGGAAAACACGCACGGCTGAACAAGCGCGCCCGCGCTGCTCTCCGGAACTAGTTGTGCGATGTGATCACCAGCGCAATGTGACCACCAGCTCTTGCCCAAAGGCTTGCAGCCTGCGAATTGATCGTCCCCTTCCTGCCTTCATCGTCCGATTGCCGCCCAAGGGCTTTTGCCGCTTCAGGGGCAGAAAGAACAGGGGAAGCGCTTGTAGCAACACCTGCGCCAAGGTACCCGTCGTATACAGCAGGCTGCAAGTAAAGTGGATGATGAACTCTACGTGGAAGTCCATCATTGTTTCATGAATCTATATTTTGCCATGAAAATCCACATTTTGTCCGTGAACATGTATGATTTCTCATGGCGGCGCAACCAAACCTTGGACAATGGCACCGTGCACATTTGACAAATGTGGCAGTGCAACACATGCTATGCTGGTGTGGTGGTGGGAAAGAACAATGCTGGCAATGCCAGTGGCGCTTTGCGCTTCCAGTCATGCAAGACAAAGGAGCAACACGATTGAAACTTTGAGCAGGTGCAGCAAAGAAGTACCCCCCCAACAAAAAATACAACTGCATTCAGCCCAAACTTGAAGGTTTTAGTCCTGGAATGTGGTGGTGGCGGTGGTGGTGGCGGTGGTGGTAGAAGTGGTAGTAGTAGTAGTAGTAGTAGTAGTAGTAGTAGTTGTAGTAGCAGTAGTAGTAGTAATACTAGTAGTCAAAGGAAGTTTCGAAGGAACTTCCGTGTTACGGCAACTAACTGAAAGCTAGCTCTGTGAGACAGATGACAAGAGAAGGAATAAGCCCGCGAGAAAATATGCGTGCGCGTGTAGTGGGAGAATAGAAACGTGCAAAAAGCATAGCCCTGTGCGTGAATTTGCGTCCCCGGAGAGCTGAAAGCTAGCCTGTTCGCGGCGCCTGGTTGGACCAGTCTCGGACCACGTTCGGACCACTCTCGGAGCGCCCATTGGCACGGCAACGCGCTCGCAGGTATTGAATTCCGTGGCAGGCGCAGTACTTTTGCAGGTACAGATTTCGGTGCAGGCGCAGCACTTTCGCAAGGTCGAGTACAGATTTCGCGACAGGGGCAGCACTTTCGCAAGGTCAAGTACAGATTTCGTGGCAGGGGCAGCACTTTCGCAAGGTCAAGTGCAGATTTCGTGGCAGGGGCAGCACTTTCGCAAGGTCGAGTACAGATTTTGTGGCAGGGGCAGCACTTTCGCAAGGTCGAGTACAGATTTCGTGACAGCGGCAGCACTTTTGCAAGGTCATTTCGTGGCAGCGGCAGCACTTTCGCAAGGTCAGGTAAAGATTTCGTGGCAAGGGCAGCACTTTTGCAAGGTTAGGAGATAGATAGAGACATAGGTAGATAGATACATAGATAGATGGATAGATGGATAGATAGATAGATGGTTGGATGGATAAATATATAGATACATATAGGGATAGATAGATCGATCGATAGATAGATAGATAGATAGATAGAGAGATAGGTAGATAGGTAGATAAGTGAAAGAGATGCAAAAATGGATGGGAAGAGAACGAGAGAGAGAGAGAGAGAGATAGCTTGATAAAAATATACAGATATAGATAGATCGATAGATAGATAAACAAATAGATAGATAAAACAATATAGATAAAGATATTAATAAATAGATATATAGATGAAAAGACAAAGGGAGAGAGAGAGATAGATAGGTAGATAAATACAAAGATAGATAGATAGAGAAAGAGAGAGAGAGATAGATATAGATACATAGATAGATAGGTTTGATAAATAGAGAAAATACAGAAAACAGATAGACAGATAGATAGATAGATAGATAGACAGATCAATAGATAGTTAGAGAAGAGACAAAAGAAAGAACGGCGTAACAACAAGAAAAGAAAGAAAGGAGTGGGGAAGGAAGGAAAGAAAAACAGAAGGAAATAATTGTGAATTAAAAAAGAAGCAATGAAAAAGGATAAGAAGAGAACAAGAATCAAGAAAGGAAAGAGAAAGATAACTATAGTTTTATATTTTTGAAACTTCCGCCCACCGGCTTCGCCGGCTCTATTGGTAGTAGTAGTACTGGTAGTACTAGTAGTAGTAGTGGTAGTAGTACTAGTAGTAGTAGTAGTAGTAGTAGTAGTAGTAGTAGTAGTAGTAGTAGTGGCTAACTTGCCAACTGCATCTTCCTGCAGCTCCATGCTGGACACCAACTTGTTAACCTACTGTCGTTCCGCCAGCTCCACGCCGGATACTAACTTACAAACTGGATACTAACTTGCTAACTGCCCTTCTCCTTCCTGTGGTCTGGAGTGTCTTTTTAATCATGAATTAATTATTCCCCAACAGCTGAAAGCTTTGGGGTCTCAGCCCAGATAGGCTCCGGGGTGGTCCGGAGCGGCCCTGAGGTAAGGTTCCACGAGGGTTCCATGTGGGTTCCACGAGGGTTCCATCCACCAAGGTTCCACGAGACCTGCGGGGTGGTGCGAGCACTAAAAAGAGCACCGTGTGCTGTCGGGATAGCACCTGAGCTTATTTCTTGATGCACATGCCATATCATCGCCACCTCGCGCAGTGTGGCCCTGCTGCGCTCTCCGGCCTTCATCGTCCGACTGCCGCTCAAGGGCATGTGCGGCTTCAGGGGCAGCAGGTGCAGGAACAGTGCTTGCAGCAATGCCTGGGACAAGGTACACGCAAATCAGCCTCCCTGCCAACTGTTGGTCATGCTACGGTATGTGGCTTTCCCGTGGTTCCCATTCATGACTGCGTAAATAGACACACCACACCCTTTTGCACACTGGACCGCGTGTGCTGATCTCATCAGAAAGCTTCCAAATATCTGACCGCACAAAGCTTTGTGCAGGGGAAGCTGGGCTGCATCACATACATGCTGGAACTAATGACGGAAACTGTGCCAGTGCGCTCTTCAGTCACCATATTGAACGATGCTGAACGGCATGCAAATGTGCATGCTTATTTGCCGGTGTTTAGAAACGAACAAACAAACGACAATACGTTGGGCAAGCACTAAGGCTTCTGGTGGTCGCAAGGCCGTTGAACACCTGCGCTAGCTGCTCTTTTGTGTCAATCACTGGACCAAATTGTCCTCCCATCAAGTTCAAAACGTTTTGGAGCGCAACGTTGGCCTGCAAACAAAGTTCGTCATCATGCTCCTCCTAGCTATGTTCAGGGCACGGATCCAAAGGCAAAGTACAGCTTTTCATCGGATTGCTGTTCATTCACCCTTTGCAACCAGCCGATAGTTTGAGAAGCCTGACTATCGGAGGGACTTTCACAAGCAGACTGAATATCCATTGCCCGTCTCTGGCACCCGTCTCGCAGTCGGCGTTCTCGGGCACCAGGATCCGGATGCAAACGCTTGCGGAGCTACCCACGGAGTTAGCCGCACGGACCTCCGATACAAAAGGGTCAGGAGGATTATTCAAGTCAAAAAGCAAAGCCTCACATTGAAGGAGTCTGCATTGCCCAGTCGCCGAGTCTTGCTGTTCACAAATCCAAACAACTTCTGACAGATGTATGCACCTGAGTGAGGCCCAAAAGAAGCCCTTCGAGCCCCAAAGCTAAAGTGTCTGCAAGGATGCAGCAGGTGCCTTCCGGCCGAAACACTTCCTCGCCTGGAACTCGTACATGTTCGATGGCTGCAGGCCAGCAATGGCCACAGTTGCAGGCGATGCGGCAGGCACTCGGAAGCTTTCCAGCTCCACATCTTCCACTCCTGCGAGCGAGGAGCACATGACGCACCCTTGGCAACCAATCACCCTTCAGGTGTTCGACGCTTAGTGCTGCAAACCTTGAACACAAATGCAGCAAGCAAAAACTAATGCAACAATGTATTGAACGTGGCCCCTCTGCCTTTTTCAAGGATTCATTAAAGTTAAACATTGCGGAGATGCGTGTGTGTTTCGGTTCGAGTCTCCTGCCTTTTCGCTCAAAACAATTGCAAATTTGTTTTTAACAACTGCTCGTCACCTTCGCATTGTGTCGAGCATGTGAGAAAACGCCAAAAATGCTCTTCGCCCTGAAGCACCCTGCCTGTGCTTTGGCTGAGCAGGAGGACAGTTGCGTCCACATGCGTGGCCATTGCTTGCGCTAGCTCCGTGTCATCACACGTGTGGACCTCCAGGTGCACTTGCGCCTCGTCGCCTCATTCAGAAAATTCTGTCTTTGCCACGCTGCGCATGCCGAAACCATCGAGGTCATAGCGGGAAGGGCTGAGCAACTAACATCTGAATTCGTCTGTGCCTCAACGCAACCTCCCTCGAGATGATGGAGTATCCATGATAGTGGTGTTTGTGGAGGGCAAGCAGCAATATGATTGATGCAGGCACTTGCCGCCTTGAATCAGGTTCACGATGCGGACGCTGCTGGGCATCCTTGGGAAAACGAAACGCCGCAACTGATATTTTCCCCTTGTGCTTTTCCAACACTGAGAAGGGCAAACAATTGAGCCGTGTTTTTTTTAATGGTGTGGGGCCTATACACTGGTTGCACATACCTGCGCGGAGGCTACGCGGAATATATTTGTTGATAAGTGGCTACGCGGGGGGCTACGCCGGGGCTACGCGAATATGCGTTGGCAACCGGAAGTAGTAGTAGCACCAGCAGCAGCAGCGGTAGTCGTAGTAGCAGAAGTAGTAGTAGTAGTAGTAGTAGTAGTAGCAGTGGTGGTGGTGGTGGTGGTGGTAGTGGTGGTAGCAGTAGTAGTAGTAGTAGTAGTAGTAGTAGTAGTAGTAGTAGTAGCAGTAGTAGTAGTAGTAGTATCAGTAGTAGAAGTAGAAGTAGTAGTAGTAGCAGAAGTAGTAGAAGTAGAAGTAGAAGTAGAAGTAGAAGTAGAAGTAGAAGTAGAAGTAGAAGTAGAAGTAGAAGTAGAAAGAAGTAGAAGTAGAAGTAGAAGTAGAAGTAGAAGAAGTAGTAGTAGTAGTAGTAGTAGTAGTAGTAGTAGTAGTAGTAGTAATGGTAATAGAAGTAGTAGGACGCATGTGGGCCAGTGGCCTTGAATACGCCTTGAATACGCCTTGGAGTCTACGCGGAGGCTACGCGCATGGCTACGCTGAGGCTACGCGGAATGAGCGAACTCAGTTCTGGCCGGGTCTTTCTCTGAGACATGCAAGCTTTCAACCTAAGCCTGTAGCTCAAGACAAAGGATCTAGGCAGAGGCTACGCGGACGATTATCGACAGCTCCCTTTGCTAGTGGCTACGCGGAGGCTACGCGAGGCTACGCGGTCCCAGGAGTAGGCTACGCGGCCACCATGCCAGTTCCCCTCTCCTTTTGGGTTTGTTTCTTCTGCCACGTGGCTCTGGCGCCTGAACTCCCAGAAAGTCTTGCAGAGCTGCGCTGGACTTTAACGTCTCGTCGCTCAGCATCTCCGACAACCTAGCCTGCAAACAATGGGACATCCCGACGCTTGGCGTTCAGGGCCTTGTGGCCTTCACTGCCTTGCGCTGACTTGTCCCTACAATCGGCCAAGGCTGGAAAAGCCATGCCTCGAGGTATGTCGCACCAATATGCACCAATGCTCTCTCGATTGACAGCTTGCGTGTAGGCTTTTCCACAGGGCCCATTCGGAGCCATCATGCCCCCCAAAAAAAACTTAGATGTGCTTGCGTCAGCTCCCATAGTGAGTCCGAAGCCTCAATTTCTGCCAACGCTCTGCAAACTTGTTGCACGGCACGTACCACATACCTTTGCTCAACAAAATGAGATTTGTCTGGCTGTTTGGAATCTGCTTCATCAAGCAGAAAGAGCTAATCAGCCACTGTCAACATTGATTGCGGTGAGCAACCTCTATTTTCCTGCGAAAGCCCGCAGATGCCTGCAGGCGGTCCATTTGCCTTCGCGGTGCATCGCGCAAAATGCCAGAACGCCGGCTGCCCACACAGCTCCGCAGGACCTGTGATGGGGAGCGACCAAATCATGCCAACACTGGTCGATGCAGCTTGTTGAGCCAGGCAGGTTCGATACGTTTTCCTGTTTCCTGCTTTATTTATGCTTGACGCCCGGATGGCTTTTGTCTTGCATTGTGCTGTTCCGACTCTTGCGTAAGACCTTCCAACTCTCTGCCCTCTAGATCTCAGAAAGCAAGTCTGCCTTTCACCGTTGCTACAACACCCTCTTGACCAAACGCAGGCAGCCCTGTGCAGTAGAGCACGCTGAGCGGGTGGCTGATGCATGTCGCATAGCCTTGCCGCATTCTCGAGACATCCGCCTTACATCGAATCGTGGGGAAAAAAAACGCGCCCCCAGAAGCCCTCCCAAAGAATGCGGGTCAACTGTTCGAGGGACCCATGCAAACGGCTGAACAATGTCTTCATAACATGAGAGCTGCTGAACGTCCGATCAACGCTCCAGCCAGGATCGCTGAAATCACTGCATCCCCGAGTACTTTTGGCCAGCTTAACGGAATGAGCGCTGGTTCTGTATTCCCTGTACGTGCAAGAGGCAATATTCAAGCTTCCGTGGACACTTCCGCACGTGCTTGCGCGGGCCTAATGTTTCCGCAGTACATGCTTTGCATGGATGTGCTTGCGCTGTGTTCCGTGGCTTACGTTTTACAAGCTTTGCTTCTTCAAAGCAAAGGCACTTCCGACCGTACAGCAAGCTCTTGTCTCTTTGTGTCCGCCGCTGCCCGGCTATTGGCCTTCATTGTCTACTTAAAACCTGGGGTCGGTGGCTAGAAAAATGCGCGGATGCGGAAGGTTTTGCTGAAGGGGTCTCTTCGTGGAAGGTTCGCGGAAGCTTTGTGGTTTGATATCAACTGTTTCATTCAGTTTGTGCGAGTGGAAAGGCATACCTTCTCTCCCCATACTACTTTCATTGCGCCGCACAAAACAAAAATACGATGCTTGAACAGACATGCATACAGTGCAGCGAAAGCATGGAGCTTTGCAAGTTGCAGCCAAGGCGCTCTTCGAGGCGCAGCCACTCCGTCAAGCGACGCTGCACGGCCCAAGACTCCCCGCTTGGTAGGTGCGTCACCTTGCCAAGCCTATTGGGTGCCCAAGCGCTCAAAAACGTTGACACTCGCTTCGTCAAAGCAACATGCAGCATCCGCATCGGGCAACCATCATAGCTGTGCTTAGCATCCCACTACTTATGATACGCCTACAGGTTCATGTCTCAACAAGCGCTGACCTAGGTCGTGGCAAACTCAAGAAAGGCAATTTGGTCCGACTGTTCAAGCATTTCTGGGAGTTGCTGCCCAAGCATCATGAAAGTTGCACTCTGGCTCTCCGCTGCCTCAGCTCGCAACTTCCGCAAAGCACGTGCATGCAGTAGCAAAATTTGCGGCACGCCTAGCAAGGCAAAGGCAGCAGCAAGCTAGGAAATCGAGCTGTTGGAAATTCACGGAACTGTTCCTGATGTCGGAATGATTGACGGGCACTGATGCGACGGATGTGTGGGCCAAGGTTCACTTCGCAGGATAAACTAAGATGAGCTGCTTCATGCTGGCTTACGCAAACAATTCACTTTTAATGACGCTAACATAGGCTCGTCAGTTTCATCAGGCAAACTGTTCCGAGCAGGACGGAACTGATGTAGATTTTAGGCGGTTATAATCATTCTAAGATTCAATTAATCTGCTGCTGTATGTCTGCAAATGTGTTGCTCGATGTTGTGAATGCAAGTGCTTGAACATTGGCATGTGAACAAAGAATAAGTTAAAGTCATGCCTTTACGCACTCCCAAGTAAGCTAATTTGTGCAGTTCCAATGGGCATCAGCGTTTATCCAGCCAGCAAGGCACTCAAGCACGCCAAACACACCACAGAACATGGATATCAAATGAAATCAACATCAAAGTGCAGCATGAGCGGCTGTCGACTCTGTGTCCAAGCAGGGCAGCTGCAAAGGTGCGTGCCGTGTCACTCCTTCACGCAACAAATTTGCCTAGCTGCCAGTTGCGCCAGACTTTGCAAACCGGCTGGCCTACATAATAATTAAAAAAAAAAAAAACATTAACAGCTTCAGCTTATATTGCTGGCATGTGATCGTCAACACTCCAAAAATACATCACCATCATTGGCCGTACGTACTCTATCAGTGTCCCTGTGCTCGGAACCCTCTCCTGCTGCACATTTCTTGCCAACATTGGGAGATGGCGCAGCGAGGTTCATCAGTGCGGCACGCGGTTCTGTAACATGACTGGGTTTCAGTGTCACGGGTGCTTGCAAGGTGCTGCCTGCTGAATGGCACCTCAGATTTTGCTTTTAAGTGGCCCTCGTGCCTGCCATTGTGGTATCCCTAGCTGCCGCGTTACGGCAGCCCCGGCTCTGGATTCTTGCGCGCATGCCTTCAATGAAAACACAAAGTTCTTGTTATTCACCTGAACGCGTCGCTCACAAGAGACTTGTGTTATTGTGTGTGTCAAAGAAGCAACCTGCAAATCAGCTCCTTCAAAGTTTGCCTGCCAAAAGAACAAACCTGATTCGCAGTTTTCCAGCCGTCAGCTGTCATCGGCCGTGTTGGCCTCTTCCTGCGGTGGCTCTGGAGCCTGACGGCCAGGACTGACTCGTGCTCAGTTCTACCGCTTCTTTGACAATTACAGTCTAAAGTGCCCGGCACCAACTTTTGGCGACATTGCCTTGTGCCAAAGCTTGAAGGGCCCAAAACTCACAGTTCACTTGATGGCAAATTTTTCAAAAGCTCTCTCTGCATCCCTCCCTCCCTCTCTCTCTCTCTCTCTGTCTCTCTCACTCTCTCTCTGCCGGCCCCATAAGAGTTGGTCAGACAGGCGCTACTTGGCCTTTGGCAACAAATCAACAGAACAAGCTGATTTCCACGGTGCTTTCCCGCTCCAGCCTTTGCGCGCAAGCCGGCGTGCGAGAGAAGCGCCTGTCATTCCGAGGAATGAGCGGGACAAAATTAAACAGCCATAAACAGCCCAAGGGCAAAGAAAATAGCACAGGGTACGGCATCTTTGCTGGCGTTGGCCATGGCTGGACAGCCTTTATTGAAGGCACCACTGGAACCCCAAAAGGCTCGACAGCTGTGTGAATCCGCCACTTGCATCTTTGCCCTGCGTCTTTGATGCTGCGCGTTTGCTGGTTCTTTAGAAATATTTGTTTGTCTCTCTTTCTCTCTCTGGCGCATTATATTCAAGACTTTGGTTTTGCTTGTTCCAGCTCCTAGCAGCGAAAGCAGCCAACAAAGCTTGGCGTCCACACCAGCTCATAGAGGACGCCCTCTATCTTCAGCAAAGTTGCCTGCATCACTGTCACCCCCTTGAGTGTGTGGAATTCACATGCCTGGATGCCAAATTGGCAGGGTGGTTCTTGGACGGCTTGCACGTCCACTCAGAGGTCACGAAGCAGCGCACTGCACTTTCCATAGCACATCTGCTCAATGAATCGCATGCTGCCAGACATGGGTAGCGTGTGATGTTTGCTTTTGATCTCTGGGCAGCTCACTGCTTTAGAAGACAGTTTGACCATCCCTCTCTCAAACAATGGCGGCCACATTTTGCCACCTTGGCAGCAAACATCTTCTTGCCAACCCCAGGCAGGTAGACCAGCTCCTGCAACACGTGGCTACGGGAGTCTTGTAGCAATTGAACAGAGCTGTGGGGCCACTATAGTGAATCAGTCAGCAATTGCAATTGAACAAGCAAAGTGTGCGCATAACGTTACGCCAAGAACAACAAGTGAATGCAACCAGTGTTTTGACTAAGAACCCTCATGTCAGCGAGTGCAGGAAGTCGGCTTATGTGCAAAAGAAAAGCAGGATCAAAGCTGGCTACCCTAAACAAGCCAAAAACATAAGACAACAAGGCTGGCTGAAATCCTGCCAGCGCCAGCCCCCGTAGGGATCAAATCTCACATCAAGGAAGCGTGCAAATACCATATCCCAACTTGCAAATCCCACTCGGAGGCGCAATCGTTGGACTCAAAGTTTGTTCTTGCAAGAACTCACAATGCGACAGCAGGTCTCTCTTGGAACCCGGAACACGATGGGAACAAGAGGGGAGCGGGACCCGTACCGGCGGTCAGGAGGGACCCCCTTCCCTGGTGCACTGGTCTTGCCACCATTGATCATTGCACGCACCGGTACCCTCAACATGTTGCACTCAGAGTTCCTGCGTGGGGAAATGCATGCAATGCCAAAACACAACAAATATACACGCACCAACTCCTTGCCCACCTCATGCCTTTCCTGGATGCCGCAGCAAACGCCCTCGACACAAGCGAGGCACAGCTCCACTTCATGTACAGCCTGGCAACGCGATGAATCGGATTGAATAGATGTGGCAAATGTCTTCCTGCGCATGCAAAGGGCATGTGAGGCCGCGAGCTCTTGAGCATGGGCGTCCGCAAAAGGCGCAAACTGCAGCATCTCCCCACGTTGCATTTTACATGACGTTGCTTAAAAAAAGAAGAGTGACAACTAAACGAAACAAGCAGAGCTAGCCAACCTACCGAATGCCCAGCTTCTTATGAAAATGTCGATTGCAAGTGACATCATGTCACCCTCACCTCTCGCCCACGACTTGCTTGGCGAACTGCCAATCGGCCCACCTAGGTGAGAGACTCGCGCAACCCATCAAAAGCTTCTGCTGATTTGTCCTGTTTGCATGTCACGTGCACGTCACGTGCATGTCACGTGCATGTCACGTGCATGTCCGACTGTTCTCGACACAGTGCACCTCCCCGGTGAGATCCAATATTCCTGCAGGTGTCATGGCCGCCGCAGCTTTCCCAGCTAACAGTTGCGCTGAAACGGGCAGTCCAAAGTCCTCCCAGGTATTCTGGCAAGGTGAGCTCAAAGTTCCTCAGCAAAAGCTCAACCTAGCCTGACCAAGCACGTGGGATAATCAACATGTGTGTCAGTGGAGATGTGTCTTGAAGACGAACAACGCGACTCACTGTGAAAGGTGACCTTGCATCACTCACTGCCGAACAAGGATGAACTAAGAGGCTGACAGATCAGTGGCTGTCTGCAGCCTGTTGTGTTGCAGGGTTTGGCTTGCAGGAAATACATTTCTGAGCTCGCGGCTCTGCTTTGTTCAAAAGCTTGCGGTCCTGGTGTGGGGGCCATTGGGTGCTCAGCAGCCTAGCTGACGGTCTGCGTAACATCCCCTTGCCAAATGTTGATCCTGGGGCTCGTTTGATAGCAAAGATAGGAAAGCAGGGAAGAGTCTGTGGAGGCAGGCTGTTGCAAGTGCGTGCGGCTGCCCAGGGTACGCTGAGCACCAATACAACACAATGATGAACTGAGGGAAAAATGCTTGCGACCCATTCCTTGCCTGGACTTCGCTAAGAAAATGGGGCCAAACGTGCCGAGGGCGCCTTGCGGAAGCTGCGGTAGGACACTGCCTCTGCCAGCTCCTCCAGGGCGGCGCTGAAGCCGCCGCCGCGGAGCGTGGGAGCGGCCAGGACGTGCTCCTTGAAGATGGCTTCCGCCTCCGTGACGCACTCAACTCTGAAACCTAGCTGGAACGTCCAAGCAAATTCAAAGGGGGCTCTTACCCGTGTTTGCTGCCTTGTGCTTCCAAGGATGATTCCATCTTTGACAGTCACGTCATCTTCCTTCAATTTGCAAACGCGGGCAACAAGCTAACGAAGAGGAGACCCCAATTGACTGCCTCAACTGCCCAAACTCAAAGCGGCAGGCCAACCGGAGCATCTCTTCTGTAGAAGCAGCTCTTTGATCGCAGCCCCCAGGCTAGGAGGTTTGTAGGTCGTGCCATTGGCCCTATGAGCAAAAGTTTGGCCCAAATGCAAGATGCAGTGGGAAGTGCTCGCATTGTTCCTGTCCGAAAGTGCTCGGAAGTGCACTGCGCCGTAACGGATGCGCTCACTCAAACGCTGGCCTGCCTTCTAGCCAAGCTTGCTGTCAACCACAAGCCAGCTGAGACATGCTTGGCCAAGGAAGGCCTCCTTGGCGCACTGGGACAGGATCTGGTCTGCCTCGCAACAGTTCCATAGGGGATTGCTGAGGGGTGCTTTCAGGCGCATGACATCCGACCAGGGCTGAACAGACAGGAATCCCAAAAGTTGTCCTCCACAACTCCGCCCGCGTTCGCGGGATGACGCTGGCAAGTTCCAAAGCGACATTCACCCGTCTGGACTCACCTGGATCACACCGATAAGTAAAAGTCTGAGAGACGGTCCCAAAGCCATGCTGGGCTCCCTAAAAGTTTGTTGCTGTTACTTGCTTTTCAACACCGCCGCCTTCTTGAAGTCTTCTCTCTGCAAAGCATACCTCAGCTCAATCGATGTTGCTGCAAGCCTGGATTCTAACACGTCTTCAACAAACACTCCCAGCTGGGACTTCAGTCCGGCACAAAGCCAGCAAACAATGCGCGCCAATTAGGAAAAGCGCACAGCATTCTTGGCACCCTTTCCGACATCGCGCGACCGCTTGATGACCTGCATGCTGCGTGGAATGCCCCAGAGTTCTTTGCGAAAGCGAAACAACAGGAGACTCAAGGTCATCTCTTGATCATTTCCTAGTGGCATGTCGGTTTGAGAATCCTTACTCTGAGCCCTGTCCACGCTTGCTTTGTGTAGCCTGCTCCCGCGATTCAGTAAAGCGATCATACCGCTCCTGCGGCTTTCAAGCTCTCGGGGCCATAGGGACAACAAGCTATGTCGAGAAAACCGAATAGCACACTTGAAACTTAGTAACTTGATCACCCAGCCCAGTACCTTGCCAAACCAACTGTCCCCTCCTTGATGCCATTTAAAAGGTCAAGGCTGATGGCGTCCTGCTTAGGCCTCAGTCCGGATCTTGTGAGCAAGCTGCCAAGCATGCTTGGTGAAAAGGCCACATCCGACTCACCTGGCACATTGATGAAACGTGTGGGTAAAACTAGCGCAGAACCTGGATGTGCTGAAGCATGTGCACATGAGGAAACAGCGGCGCCTGAGTTGATGCCACTACGCGATAGCACAAAACAGAACGACATATCACAAACACCTTAGATAAACCAACGTTAAACAAAACGACACCTGAACAAAACTTGACAACACAAAACACTAACAACACCAAACACCAATATGTCTGGGAAAGGTTGGAGCCATTTTCCTGGAATGTCTTGTGTGTGTGATTCCGAGTTGTTTCTCGGTTTCAGCTGGATTCGTTTTCGGTGTTCAAGTTGACTTCCGATTTGCATTATCCTTGTGTTTCTTTTGTTGTGTTTTGGTTGCATCTTTGCAGTGATAAGAACGAAGGAAGGTCAAGCTTGTGATTCAGCAAGGCTCCAATAAAGCCAACGCTCACAACGTCTGTTTCTGAACAAAAATGATGCATCATCGCCAACAGCACCTCAGCTCTGCCAGGCGAAGGACTCAGGAGGCTCAGTGCTAGCTGCCGGAGCTTCTGCCTAGGATCAAGCTCACAGGCACCATCCTCACCCGAACTTTACATGAGCCTCAACTACCGAGCACGAAGTGTGCAAATGGCACAAAAAGGTTCTAAAGCTTAACATTCATGAACTTAATCACGCGGGCACGCCTGGGCTCCACCTTGCAAAGCACCTGGGCGTGCGCCGCATGGGGCCGTCCGGCATGCACCCGAAACATGTCAAAGTAAAAAGATGTAGTGTTTGAAGGAGGCAATCAGCTAACTAGCATGTGCTCGAAGCCGGGAATCAGCTCACAAATGTGCAAGCCACCGCGCTGCAAAATACAAGTCAGGGATGCAATGTCTCTGCACCGCGAGGTCCACTTCATACACGAGAGTCTCCAACCTGGCAAAATGGAAGCGCAGGCAAAGGTGCAGGTTCGCCTTTGTGGTGGCACGGCGCGGTTTAGTTCTGATCCCTCAATCACGTACCACACATTTGTGCGCGAGCTTGTCAAACAGCATGCAAGGAACATTCTTCTTGCAGCAACGGTTTCTGGATGCTGTGCCTTCCTGCAAGCCCCGAAAATAAACAGCAAGCAATAGAGTTTAATCTGAATCTAAGGCTTCTATTCGATTGTGCGGAGCGGTGTCCAATGTCTTTGCGGTGATTTGCCAACCAAAACACAATGCACACGGCCGCATTTTCCCCGAGTCTGGCTTGACAGAAGTGGTGGCTGCTAAACAGCTCCACTCAATACAGGCGACGGCTAGCTCTGCCATGTGTTGCTGCTTCGTGGAGCAGACTCGGCGGCAAGTTGAACCCATTTGGACAACGATGCACAATCAGCCGACTACCTTCATTCAATTTTTTTCGATGCTTGTTTAGGTTGGCTCGCCTTGTTGCAACTCTCGTGCAGTGCCAGCCATCTGCAAGCGCGTTCACCATGGGCGCTGCACCCTTCACGTGACCGGTCCATTCAGATTTCCTGTCTCTCAGAACAAGTTGCCACAGCTGTTTGCCGGCCAAAGGGCAAGGACACTCCAAAATTTCACATCTACTCGGCAAGGGCAAGACAAACTGGCATCCGACACTTGAGTGTTTGCCTGCATCATGACCCCCGGAATCGCCAACAAGAAACTCTAGGTACTCATTCCTATTTTTGAACAAAGAAACTGCTGAAGTGAGTATCGGAGCCACGTGGCTGGGAGGATCCAATGGAAACCTCCCGAGCCACTCCGAAGGGCCTGCCTGACCTCGCCAGTGGAACTCGCGGACCGCCTTCGCGCGTCTCAATCCACCGAGCAAGTCCAAGGCATCGCCTTTCCAGTAGCTTCCTCGCCTGGGCAGGTTTGAAGCTCTTGCATTTGACTCCGGCTTGCACCCACTTTGCACACGCAACGTATGCTAGTATACAGTATGTTGGCATCATAAATCAAGTGTGTTTGTGTTTGTGAGCCTAAGGCCTAAGCTATGGTCATCAGGATGATGTCAGGCTTGAATGCATGCTAAGGTGATCTGTGATCATATTGGAAGTAATGGCATTTTGTTCCGAGACCCCCTGCTGCGCGCTCCCAGTCCTGCACTTTCACGCGCTTCATGGTGTATAGGGAAACGGCCACCAGCTTCCGCAGATTGGAGTTTCCCCATCCTGCAAAAGCAAATTGATACGTTCTGTCCATCCTCGGCCAACGCATGCAACACAACTAATTCTTGCCTCGTCTGACACAATGCTGCCGTTGTCTGATTTCAGATCTTCCGGGCCATAATAATCGAGTGTTGGAAGCCTCCTAAGAGCGGCTGGCGGTGGCATGTCATGCATTGCAAGCACCCTGGCGCACATCCAAGCGCTCCGTGCAGTCCTTCTAGTGACTGCTGCGTCTCTCGTTTCATACCCGCACGTTCCTGCTGCACAAAATTAACCGCTCATCGGCCGAGGGTGTGGCATGACGTACTGCGGCTTGTCGTTGATAATTGCTCCTCAGCAAACTCTGGCAAGGGGTGACGGTCACGGGAAACAGCTGTGCAACAACTCAACAGAGACAAAACAACATGTTCGGGTAAGTTATCGAGAAGCGAGAACACCCACTGCAAGCCACAGTAGGTCCCTCGCAAACAACCAATTTTCAGAGTTGTTAGAATTTATTGTGGGCTCAATCATTTTGGAGGGCTCTGGGGAAAACATAGTGTATCTTGACCATTCGAATCATGCAGCACTTGCATTGCTCACAGCTGCAACGCTACCTGCACACAATCCACTTCTCCTTCGGGAGCGTCCTTCCGAAGCTTCATAAGGCTCGAAAAGTCCTGGCCCAAAAAATGGGGTGGTGCTGTCGAACGTTGAGCAACCACATCACGTCCACTCCCTGGGCCTTGGCACTCGGATGCCAAAACTAAAGTTATGTACTGTAACACCAATGAACCTAAGAGCGCGAACGGCTTGCCCTACAAGTTTGGTTGCAAGCACATTTGAAACAGCAAGCGGCTCCTGCGTTGGTGCGTGCGGCCACAGCTCTGGCATGTTCATTGTCTGCCTCAGTGTTGACCAGGAAACGTGCTCCTCGATTTGACGATCATCATATTGAGAAAACAGACAAGTGATGCCGTGACGGGTGACGAACTTTAGCTCCCGAAAAGGTCGGAACCCAAATGCTGTGCCGGGTGTTGACATATTTCGTTGTAGAGGTTTGTCAGCAAAACTTCACCTGCTGATTTGCGGAGACCCTGCGTGCACTCGCGCTCTATATCTTATCATATTCTGTACCACCAGTAGAGCCAGCAGCGACGGCTGGTTCAGAAATATAAGACCTGCAGTTGTCCTTCTCTTTATTTCTCTTGATCTACCTATCTGCCCCTCCCTTCTATCCACACTTGACTTTGCGAAACTGCAGCGGCTGCAACGAGATCTGCGCTTGACCTAGGCGCCGCCTGCCACGAAACCTACTACGCCTGCCACCAAATCTGTCCCTGACCTTGCGAAAGTGCTGCGCCTGCTACGAAATTTAACCTTGACCTCGAGAAAGCGCTGCCTGCCACGAAAGTTGTCTTGCAGTGGGTGGCTTCCAAGAAACACCGAAGCCCGCATGTGCGAGTAAAGGTGCATCCATCTATGCCAAGGTGTAAAAACGGCTTTCAAAAACACAGGCCCCATGGCGGGGCCGCTCCCAAACACAAACACAACAAATGCGGCTCGCTAAAGTTTCGCGCCTGCCACGCAAAGCTGACGTCGCGAAAGCGCGCGTGTCCGTGCCAATGAGCCCAGGTCCGAGACCATCGTCCGCCAAGCGCCGCGACGGAGTACCTATCCGTTTCCAGAGGTGCAAAAACACGCACAGGAACACTCTGTTTCGCGACTTTTTTTCCCCCGGCACACGCGCACGCATACTCTCTCGCACGCATTCATTCCTTCTTGATCTCATCTGTGCGCAAAGCTGCCTTTCAATTAGTGGCCGTAGCACGGGAGTTCCTTCTAAACTTCCTTTGGTTAGCATATCCTGGTTACGCCCTGCTTATTCCATTGCCTTAGAGATGTCTATTTAACAGAGCTGAGTTGAGCATTTTGATGTCTACTTCGGGGTGATATTTATTGTTGACCCTTGATTTTTATTGTCTATTCCTTTTTGTCCATTTCGAGGTGCTTTTCTTTATTCTGTCCCTTTGCTAACACCATCCCTTATCACTTATTCTGTTCTGATCCTATCATACCTGTCCAATTGCAACACAATACTGCAATGAACAGTTTCAAACCAGTAGAATCAGCAAGGAATAGACAACAAAAAATAAAGAAACATAATAGAAGGACACGTCGAAATGGAAAGGCAGGATCAACATAAGTATCACCTTGAACAACAAGTAACCAATAAAGAGACATAATAAACAACACCACTGAAAGCTCGTCAACGGGCCCTAAAGGCAAAGATCGGATTGTTGAGCTGTTTGTGTTAGGTGAGGTTTAGCGACCTCATGGTGTCTGCCTCCGGCGTCCGCCCAGAACCAAACTTCTATAGAACCTGTCCCGAGATGCTGCTCCAAAGCTTCCGTCGGACTCTCAACACTGCAATTTCAATTGCAGGGAGTGGGAGTGCTGCTAGACCAACTCCCCACTGATACCAGCGCGGAACAGCTGCACGGACTCTTGGATCAACCATTCAGCGAAGCAGTTTGAAAACAAACAAACAAACACGTTGCCTTGACTGGACTTAAGCTCGCGGCAAAGAACACATTTCATGGTTCACTGTCTTCAGTTCTCATGGTGAGGCAGCCAGGGCCAGGACTGCTTCAGAAGTGGTGAGCAATGCCCAGCTGAATAGTACCCGTCCTGGCCACAACGTCTCTTGCCACTTTTGAAACACGTGGCCATGCGGTCCTCATTGGAACGGCGAACTAGGAACAGCACGTATGCATTCTGCCCTACCACCTGCTCATCTGGACTGAGTCGTGAAACCTTCTCATCCTCAGCCGGCGCATGCACCAAACAGTCACGAAGTCTAATGTCCAACTGCACTAAGGACAGTCGACAAACGCAAATCACTTCGCGGGGGCGCGCGGGCGGCCTCAAGACAAGTGCCGGATGATTTGCTTTGCTTCGTCACGAGGGCACAATCCATCCATTTCGTCCATTTCCCCTTCCAGCAACTAGCTCCCTTGTGGCAAGCTGCTGCCAAGGCTCGTTGAACTTGAACCATTTTTCCCCCACCCGGCAGGTCGCTGTGTAGTGTCCCATACCAACAGCGCCCGAGTGATTCGCAACGCAGGCCACGGAGTACACTGCACCCTGCCTTTGGGTGGAAGAGCAGAAGCCTGACACGGGCGTCCCACGCACAGTGCAACCAAACAGCCGTCACAAGCAGTCTTGCTTCTTTGCCTAATTCAGCCAACTTAAGGGAAGGCAACACTCCGCATAGAAGATGACTCATGCAGGAATCGCGCCGCCCAACATTGGGGTTCATTGACAACACCTCTTGCCTTGCCTCTCTCCTCTCTGCAGCTTACATGCAGTACAGTACGGCTGCCTGACAAGTCAACGGTCAGATCACACGACAGTGGCGTGGTGATCTTTCTGAACCAGCCGGAACGCGCATCAAACTCAAAGCCTCAGTTGCAATCAGCCAGTTGCTCTCAAGACATAGGATTACACCATTGCACAACAACAACTACCAGTGGGGTGCAGCCACGCCACGTTTAAGGTGCACGACAAGAACTGGAGGAAGTTGCCACAAGTCAATTTTCTTTCTGGCATCGACTTTGGCCTGGCGACCGAAGCAATGCACACTTTGCAGCCAGCAGATTTGACTTGGAGGCCAACGCTGGTATTTCTAGCGCCCTTGGATTAGCAAGACTCTTCCCAAGATCCATGCAGCATCTTTGCCACCTAAAAGTAATCGATGCGCCCCAGCCTTGCATCT